TCGGAACACGTCGATCGAACGGCCGAACCGAGATCCACGGACAGGTTCATAGTTTCTGCTTCCTGGGAACCGTCGCTCGCGACACCTCGGCTATTCAGGCCGGCCGACTTCTATTTTGGGCATCGATGTTGGTTATTGTTCCCACGTTTTGCTCCGTTTGATCACTATTGGAAACTGATTGGTTCGTTGTATATACATACAACACTATATACGTATAAATAGTCGGTTCGATTAAATATATTGTATATAATGCGCGTGAAACGTGTTTTACCTGTGTACATTTTATTCCGTCGTTCGAGAATACGCGTTTGCGTACGGAGAATTGCGTCGTCGAGCTGTTCGTCGCGGGGGAGGAGCAATCGAATTTAACGCATACGTTTCGATGAATTATTCGTAACGAATTATCGAGCGGTACGTCGCCTAGTTAATCCCGTTTGGCGCGAGTGACGTCTGTACCGAAAGGGTTAACTTGGACGGGCAATGTTCGCCGCGCCGCGATAATTAATCATCGAGGTTATCGGCGTCGATCGTGATTTACAGTAGCTCCCATCGTTCGTCAAAAGAAATATGTGTCGCGTTGAAATTCGAGAGCTCCTCGTGCCCGGTTCCTCTTACATCAATCATCCAGTGTTTCGGTCGAACTTGAACCTGCTCGACAAAGAAAATTAATCAGAAATTAGTCGGTACAGCCTGTCGGCCCGTGTCGATTACTGCCAGCGGAATGATTAATCGATCTGTTTATGCCCCGATTCGCATTCTGGAAGGTCTACCTTTCGCAATTATTTTCGTCGACTGCTCTGCGGGTGGTAGGCTGCAATTATCACGCGTTCCGCTTCTCCGCCCATACACCACCCCCTTCGTATCGGTGTCAGTTCCAACGTCGTGAAATTAATTACCGTTCAACAGGTAAGTTGCCAATGGTTCCGGCTGTAAACGTCGCGGCAAGACAGGCTGTCGTTTGTCAATTTTTACGACCAGTAATACCGCGCTGTTAATCGGTCGTCGCCGGTGAAACGATGTAACATTAGCATCCACTCTGCTACGGGACACGCTCGCGAACGATCACGCGTATATCTCTCTCGAGCTGAAGAACTCGAGAGAAGTAGAGATCGAGTAGAAATCGAGTAGAAATAGCTGGGAGGAATAATAAAATAATATACGCGCGGTATCAGCCGGCGCTATGGTCGCCAAGGGATGGAACTTTGTTTTCGGAACTGGTCGAACTCAAAAGCTACGAAATCGTTTTCGATCCTCTTAACGGACTCTTGGACCGTTTCGAAGCTATACCAGTTGGGGTTCCGACAACTGGTGTTCCCGAACGTGGAGAAACGAAATCGTTGTCAGCAACGGGTAATACCGTGAAGCGTCGCGTTTGGCTATTCGAGATTTTTCTTGTTATCGATATGGAAATACACACGGGATGCTAATACTACATCATTCCACGAGTATTTCATCGGGGATTCTATCGCATTCTTCCCCTACTTCTCTCACAAATGTCACGCGTACATTGTAAATATGTCTGTACATTTTGTAACATAAACACTGTCGGCACCCGTTGTGTGTGGTTCGTCCCGTAGAAACAGTTCTCGTCCGTTTAAGGTAAGACCCCAAAACTGTCAACTGTTACATGTCTGTCTCTTTTTATATCGTTCTCCCCGAAAGCCTGCTAGCTCGGATTAGTTTTTCTTGTTTGGGAAATGTTGTATATCGATTCTCTGTTTCTCGTTCTTGGCACTGTTCCTCCTTTACACTCCTGTGCTACTACGCATATACGATATGCATACCTCTGTTCTCTGGACTGTTTGAATGCGAAACCTCTTCACGATTTTCAGACACGACCCGCCTTCGACGGGATTGTTCGATATTCCAATTACTTTTCTCTTTCAGCGAACGTTGCAACGTTAAAAAGTTGCCCGCGAAGGGACGGGGAGAGAGAATCGTTTTTAATTGCTCCTCGACGTAAATCTACTCGCTCCCCTCCCTTCCGATCCCTGTTTCTCGATAACACTTGCTTTCAGTGGCCCTCGCGACACGAGTGTCGCTGAAATCACGGGGATTAATTAACGAACGGTCGGTAGACGCGTTGAAATTGTTGGGAAACGCGAGCCGCAACGCTGTTTCTTCTGCGTCACCGCGAGGCTTGTCGTTCGATCGGTACAACGAACGCTTTCAGCCTTCCATCGTCGATAACGGATCACCAACTTTTAATCAATCTACTTTTTTCCAGTGAAATTTTCCTCGTCACTCGCGCGAATGTTAATTTCCGTCGGACACGTCGAACGTAGACGATCGACGTCCACAGAGACCTACAAAGTAACGCGTTCTGGACGCGTTGAGCGCACGAATATCGAACGAGTTGTCGCTTCACTTATCGCTCGAGTATCTAACGAACCATATTTTCTTTTTAGACGGTGAACTATGAATCACTCGAACAGAAATCAAAGTTTGTATTTTGTTGTAAAGTATTTTGAAAAGTTAAAGCGTTGCTACTTCTCCGCGAGTTGTGACTCGTAGCGACCGATTGGTTTTGTTCCAACCATGGACGCGACGCTCGCAAACCCGCAGGCAGCTGTGACACGAGATAATTAAATTTAATTAAACGCAACGATTAACTCCATCTCGCTGGTTTCATTCGGCAGCTGACCGATGCGCGTAATCGACGAACGCGAATCGCTTCCCGTTTTACTTTTAAATGGAACGCCGCGAGCGTAGGTGATCGATGTCCGCGCTAAAATTGCTGACCGAGGTACGACGCTGTCTAGAGAGTTAGCTGTCCGTAGATCACGCTTATAGAAACTATACGCGGATAACGAACGAGACAGAGTTCGTTTAGACGCCGGCAACAGGAAACATGACGAACTGTTGAGGTTAAGGAAAGTTAGGTCAATAAAACTAAAAACTAGTTATCGAACGCAGACCTAACCCAGAAAAAAGAAACGTGCATCCGGACAGGTCATGTCCGGATAGGAGTTGCCCCTTTAGATCGCTCTTCGAAATAGCGGGTCTCTCCCCTGGATAACGATTCTCGTCGAACTCGCGCCGAGTTTGAGCGTAACGTAGATCACCTCACCTTAAAGTATTCGAACCGTTGCAGTTAAACGCTGTAACGAACAAGATATATACCGAAGTTCGCAGAACGTTGTTACGGCTAGAACGAGACTCAACCCCGTCGAGATCGTTTAGATAGAATAGTCCTGGCACGATCGAAGCAGGAACAATCGCCTCGCCGAACTCGCTACTCCCACCGAAGATCATGTCAGTCGTAGCCACGATAGTGCATCGAGATCTTTGCTTTAGTTTGCCATGCGTCTTGTTTCATTGCGCAGTTTCGTAGGATTGTCGACTAGTCGATTCGTAGTCACTTTGTCCCACGCATATCGTACACGAAAGTATAGTCTTATAAATAATGATAAGGGTAGTACGTTTAGTAGTTTTTGGATCGAAAGATTTCGAGTATCCTCGCGACCCACTCGTAGTCTCGTCAAACCGCGTAGGAACAATCTATCGCTGAACGGGTAGACGAAGCAGACGAACACTAGCGAGTCTGTCTCCGCTAGGGCGAAATAATCAAAGTAGAGAAAGCGGTCTCGAGAAAGAGATATACGTATTACCGCCGTAGACCCATGTAGAACAGATTTAGGGTAGGTGAGCCTAGGGTGCAACAATGTAGTGTGTGCTTGTGGTGTGGATTTCAGCAGGCGTACAGTCAGTACATCCCAGCGACAAGGGCCCAAGTATCGGGCGTCGAAGGGGGTCAGACCGGGGCTGCGATGGACGGGACTTACCTCGTCGAGGCCTCGTTCTGAGCGGCCTAAAAGTTTCTTAATCGGTCTAGTGTAAAGCACGCTAAAACAGACCCCGATAAAACGACGCTGAAAAACGTGTAACCGAGATAGAACAGAGTAAAAGACGAACAAAAAGCAAAATTAAACATAAAAAAAAAAAAAAATACACATAGATTAAAATCTGTAATCACAGACGAGTGAAGCCGTGTACGGTTCGAAAGAAAGGTAAACACGAGATGCGTTTTAGAGACGGATTTCGAGTCGATCGAACGGAACGTCTATATAGAGAGATATGTGTAAATATAAGGATCGCTCGGAGAGTAGAGAAGATCATGGAAGAAACGCCAGGATATTTTAAGCGACACCTAATAATAATCGTAATAGTAATTGTCACGATACAACAACCGTCACGCGAGAGTGGCGTGAACAGACACGAAAAATAGAAATAAAAATGACACAAGACACACACAGTGCGAAATTTCCACAATGTAAATCCAATGAAATTCTTCTATTTCCTCATTTCCGTGCCACCCGCTCGTCGACGACCGACCGACCATCGTCATCCATCGTGGAAACTGGACCCGCCGTGACGTCTCGTCGTCCTCCTGTCATCGTCGTCGCGTGGCCATCGTCATCGTTCGTCGGCCATCCACGAAAATAAACACGTCCGTGTTTTACTCTTCTTCGCTGCGAATCGGCAACCCTTTCTCGTCGCATCTACTCTGTTTGCCCGTTCATTCGCCACTATGGGCAAACTAATTTTTAACGAACATGGAAATGAAAACGAAAACAAACAAACAAACTAACGAACATCGAATAAACAATTCGTCCACGTGAAACCGTGCGGAATTCATAATGAACGGGATGGATCTCTCTCGCGCGCCCACTCTCTTCTCTTCCTCTCTTTCACGTTGGAATTTCATGGACGACATTTGAATTGAAAACAAAAAACAAAAAAAAAAAAATACAAATATATACATAAACATTTGCGTATATATGTATGTGCATTCGTATACATATATAACACACGATAACGAGAATACGCCGACGACTCCGATGATGGCACGAAATGAAATATACGTATACGCAAAAATGGAAACGTATACACGTATATAAATATATCGTGAAACGACAAACACGCATCGCGTGAAACTTTACGATAACAACATTCACACGCGACGTTTTCGTGGCCACCGAATATCATCCACTTTGTAGAGCTTGTCTTATCAGCTTACTTCGAACGACAGCAAGGATAGAGTGGTGCTCGTATATGGGGATCGTATACAAGTGCGGACAAAGGTAAAGAAAACCGTGTTACCTGGAAACCATTTTGGATACGATGATAATTATTATTGTACATTATATACTTTGTTGTACCGTTTCATTGTCTCTCGTGCACGCGTGCCGTGATTGACGCGTTTCTCGCGTGTAATGCGTTCACTTGTATACACGGGATGCGGGATCCGGAACTGTAAACCCGGTGTACACTGTAAAAGCGGTACCAAAAATGGTATAAAAGAATTCGGAAGAAAAGCAATCACGGAGCAGAGTATACGTGGATTTTTACGATCGTCTGTAGGCGAACGTGGATCTCGCATCAGGTATAAAAATATCGGTAGGGCGGAAAACGTTTCTCGAATCATAGATCTGTACGAAAAATATACGGAACAGGAAGGAATACCAATGAAGACCGACGTCAGCGCGAGCTCCGTCGTTGTTTGTACTGAAAATTGTCCGGATTCGAATCCCAAAGCACGGACAGAAATAGAACGTACCCGACAAGGTATTTCTGCCTTATTTAATCTACCCGTGCGCCTATCGTTCATACGGGTTCTTCCGCCAACGTCAACTCCTTCGTTCTTTTTCTAAATACCAGTTTCTCAGGCAACTTTCAACGATATCAGAGTGTCAGCTGTGTGTTTCAAGTTGTATACGAGCACGCATTACACGTTAAGATGGCGCGTATCGTCGCACGCGCGTACTATCTTCCACGTTGTTTATAAGATGTGTATAAGATACTTGTATGACCACTGGAAAAATACGACGCAACCTCTTCTTGTCCTTCGACGGAAGGACGAGGACGAAGGACACACGGGACCACCCCATGCATCCCCTCGGTGGTCGAGAATATATCGTGTCGCGTGGCTGATCCCTGGATTGGCTTCTGGGTGTCTGCTTACTCCCGAGAAACACTTCCCATCCCTGCTTCTCTATTACACGCGACACTTTTCATTTCGCGTACGTTTTCCTCGGGTTCGGTTCCGTCTTTGGTTTCTTTCTGGCAACGCTTCATTTCTCGGTTACCCTCGACCGCTCTTTTTCTTCCTTTTCACAAGATTTTCGGTTTGCCCCTCGCAGAGGCTACTTTCCATCGACGTTTCGGATTCCCCGTCCGTCGTTTTACTTTTACTTTTACTTTTACTTTTACTTTCTCTCGCAGTTGCCCATCCCCCGAAAGGAAGACGGAAATCCTTCCGGACGCGAAGTCCTTCTGGCATGGTGCCTACTCCCGAACCCTATTCGTTGTGGCTGATTCTTGATCTGGCTTTTGATTTATGCATTCTCGCGCGACCCAGCAACGCTTCTTCGCTTCTCTCGTTGATCCCCTTTACGTATGCATCCAACTAGGGCGAATCCCGATGACTCCAGGTCCTCGACCCTCGATCCAACCCCCTTTACTTCTCAGCTTCGAGTACCGCTACTCGCTTCTAGTTCCAGTTTCTTTTATTTTAAGCGAGCTTCCCATCGAGCGATGTTGCACCTAGGATGCCAAGACTTGAATCTTGTCGGATCGAAACAGCGGAGAGCGAGAGAGAAAGAGAAAGAGAGACTAGGTTCTCTTTTAGGAGACGATCGAAGTAGGAAGCGTTCACCAGCGGAAAGGGAGGTCAACGAATCATGGTAAATCCCGGAAATTTGCGGTACCAGCGAATTCAGTTTTACGCGCTTTTTGCCGCGACGACGCTTCTCCAGCATCGTTCAACGGCAGCTCTCTCTTTTTCGTTCGCTTGCGAATTCGTGAGATTCTCAGAGGAACGGAAAAACGCCGAGGATTCGCTCTTTGCTCGCGTTGTTCGAAACGGACGCCATGGTACCGTAGATAAAAATTAATTTAATCGTCAGGTGTTGTTTTCGTACAACGAATAGAAATTTGTCGCTACACGTCCGATTTTGTTCATCGCTAGCGGAACTTCGCAGCTCTATGTCTTATCGCGCGATCGGGTTCAACCACCCCACCACCTTTGCAATTTCTGCAGCGCGTGCTGCGATTAATCCTCTCGTATCTTTGATAAGCTAGCCATCTCATCCTCGCCACGTCAAACGGTGATTAATGCGCTAGGTCGTGAAAGACGTCGAACCGGAATTCAAACGTCACGGTCGATTCTCTAGCGCCGCGTTGCTCTTACCCTCTCCGTTATCCCGCATCCGTAGTTCCTCCTAATGCGTTTTCCTTGTATCGCGTTAATACGACGTGGCCCAGCGCAAATGCGCGCCGCGTACGTGGCTCTCGCGAACATACGGTTTTTTCGCGATTCAGGCGAACACCTCTCGTTGGGAGACCGTTTGAGAGATGGATTCACTCTGTGCCGGAGAGAATCAGTGACGGTCAAGAAAAATGGTCGGTAGCGTTAAAAGGATCGATTCGCGGAGGCGAGTAGGTACAAGACCCGGATGACTTTTATTTTACCTTGTTTCATTCCAAAGTATCTCCCCGTGTTAATTCTAAGTTTAGGTCGAACTTGATACGTCGCATTTTAGCCGAATATCGCCGTTTAGATCGTCGGCACGAGTCATCTCGTTCTCCGTGCACGACGCGTGCAAACCTAGCCAGCGGGCGATCAATCGCGGAATTCGCGTCTCGCTGCAACCGAAATAACGCGAGCACGCGCCACGAAAAGAAATCTACGTGCGTCACGAGGGAAAAGAAGCAACGCGACAACCACCGAAAGCGTCGTTCGCATGGCGATTTGTGTCGCACGATCGCCAGCGACGATGGATCAACGCTATATCTGTTCGACTCTTAACGAGCCCCTATTCGTATTCGTAGGTTAACGAGGAGAGCGATCAATTTATCCTTCCTTTCCTAGGAATCTTGGATTACTATTCTCGACGCGATTCCAACTATCAAGGAAAGTTCGGGTACTGCTACGTTAACAAAAAAAAATTGCAGCGTCGAACGATAACATTTTACGAAGAAATTAAGCTCGCGACGGTGTCGCCTGCGACACAGATTTCCGTGCGAACGAGCCTTGAATCGTGCACGCGCGATGACGGCTGCATCGCGCGGACGATGCAGCGCGCTGCGACAGAAAGACCGACCAGACGGATATCACCGTCATGGACGGGCCGGCTGAAAAGGATTAACGACGCTCGTCGAACGACGTCGAGAAGACGACGACTATCACGCCGACTTGCGCTCGCACGAAAAAGAGAGACAGAGAAGGAGAACTGCATTGCGGTGCACGGATGCAGTTGGCGGATTTACCGGGACGCCCAACGTTTTCCGGATGCGGCTGTCGACGCGGCCGACCATTCTCGTTTTTATATCTGTTCGCCATTATTTGCCTTTAATTTACGAGCTGGCTGCGAGAGAACTGGTATCGTTGCGATCGAGCAGGTGTCCCAGGAATCTTAATGTTCACGTCGTAGGACTTTATTGAAAATCTAATTTTTCTTCCATCGTTATTAAGCTTACCGCTGTCGTCGGGGACCGTTGACGGATTCCATGGACCCTGACGTTCGAATTGGTCACGTCCGAACCTGTAAAATAATTTTCAAGCACCTCGAAGGATTCGGGGGCCATAAACGAATTCGTCACCGATCGCGACCGACGATCGATTGCCTTACACTTTTTTCTCTTGGTACTACTCTAACGCACACCGTAACGTGTTGGAAGCTACTTTATACTTTATACTTTATCGTACGATAAATTCGAGACGCTTGGCGAGAAGTTCGCTTCGATCGGTAAGAGAAGCGAACCCGAAAGCTTTGCTTACAGGCACGGATCGCTTTTATTCCCGTAAGATGTTGAGCCAACTACCGAGCGCCGACGAAGCTTCGACGTACGTACCATAACTTCGAAGCAAGTTCGAATGCACCGTATGCGACGCACTGCATCGTGAACTCGCGTTTATTATTCGAAATTGTTACGGTCTAGCATCGGTATCGCGCACAGCCACTGTTCAAAGAAACGAAAACAAAAAAAAAAAAAAAAACAGCATCGACGCACAATTGCACATGCGAGTAAATCCGGGAGAAATGGGGATGAACGATGCGAATTCGCTTGGAAATTCACCACGGAACGGAAAACGAACCGTGCTCGCGACGTCGATAAGAATCAGAGGCACTCGTCTTGTAATTAGTGGCTCGTCGAAACGATCATTCGTACTGCACTTGGCATGCTTTTATTAATCGATCGATCCACCTTTCGTCACCACTGTTTCTCTTGTAAGTTCTTTTTGTTCGTCAACCATTAGTCTATTGTTGTTGCTGTTGCGTATCGCTGTTACCTTTTCTTTCCTTCTGTTATTACTGTCACTGTTGCTCTTGTTGGATTGCTCTGTTGGCAGGACCGTTGTCCGCTTTCCAATTTCTCGACGTCGTTACATGTATCTCACTGTTCTCCGCATGAATCTGTTCTGTTCTCTCTTGTATTGTTTGCACGTGGCCCGCGCGCCTCTTTCATTCTTCCTCTCTTCCTCTCGACGTCTCTCTTCGCTCGTGACACTTCAACTTCGCGATACTTACTCGCTCGGAAACTGGTCCGCGAGCCTCGGACGTGGCATCGGATACGCCGATCTCCAGAATTTTGAACGACAGCCTTTGATTTCTTGTTCTTCCGTTGTTTCTTTTCTTTTTACGGCGCGAGAAAAGCTTTCGAGATCTGTCGATGGCACGGGCTCGACGCTGCCCGCGATCGCATCTCATTTCATTTCATACGACGAGTAGCATTTACGGTATCGTTCGCGGAAAAACGGAGAAGGGATCGCACGGTGTTCCGTGTTTGAAATTCGCGGGATCGATGGGCTTGGGAAAATTACACGACCACGAAATAGAGAGAGAAAAACGAGAGAGAGGGCGAACGAAGGAGAGGGGGGAGGTAGAGGGAGGAGGCGCGAAGTATAGCGTAATCCGACTTACGATTAGTTTCGATAGTCGTTCTAGAAACGTAGAAGCAAACGGGGAGAAAAAGAGAGAGAGAGAGAGAGAGAGAGAGAGAGAGAGAGAGAGAGCGTGGAAGAATGAAGTCAGAGAGAGAATGAAAGGATGGTAGAGACGGGGTGAAAGAGAGAGAAAGAGTCTCGGAAGAATTATCGGAAAGACTCTCGAGATAAAGAGAGCAACGATGTGGAAAGATGGACGAAGAGTCTAAATTGAAACATTTCCGAAATGCGAATTGTTCCAGGACCTAAAGAAGCGCGGTTCCCACACCTGTGATATGCAGGCCCTACAGCCACTTCCGGTCCCAAGCAACACAGTCAACACCGCGCCTGCAATGACTACTTCCGGTGGACAGTCACCGCTTCCGGTATCGGAGACCGCTTGAGTCGAGATCGAGACCAATCACGATCACCATATCCGCTATTACGAACAAAAATCACCTTTAACAAACCAACCACCGTCCTCTTCTTCTACTCGATGAAAGATGAAAGAACAATGGCCGACCGGCCGGAAGAACGGTGAGCCTGCATTCACGATCTTTTCTTGCCCGATGTAACGCTTCTCGTGGCCGAGCCGGAAGTGGTCGAGGATTCCCGGATCCGTGACAACGATTTCGTACGCAGAGCTTTTACGGCTGCTCTTCGCCGAACTTTGTCGTCTTTTTCGAATTGCCAATCCTGCAACTCAAGCACGTTCAAGTTTCGAATTAATTTACCGCCCTCGTTTCCTTTTATTCTTTTCTTATACCTGAATCTCTTATGCACGTAAGTTGAGAACTTGGAACGAACGAAATCCTGGGACAAGGCTACTTCCACCGGTTCACATTCTCTGCCATTAACGCCTCTTAACCTTTGCATTATTTACAGCAACAGTTGCGGATCGCGGGCCACCAAAAGTAGCCAATCTTTCATTAATTTTCATTGTCTTCGAATCAGGGATTGCCGACTTTGCGCGCAACTTAAACGTTTGTCAAAAATTTGTTTTCTTCGGCGATATCGATTCCGCGATCGAACGGACGCCGCGAGATCTACGCGGACGCTGTCAGGCTTGGTACGGCGTCCGCAGCCACGATTTAGCGAGGCGTTGTCCTCTTAAATCCACGCCAAAGTCCTCCGTTGTTGACGTTGATCAAGCTTTATCGCCCTCGCCGAGGAGCTACCGTTCCGCCTCAGCCGAGAGCTTACCGTTCGTCCACGAAGACGTATCATCGGGGTTTGCTTTTATCGCGACGACGAAGAAAACAACAGGATCGGGGTGCTCGACGAGCGATCGTTTCCTCGTCGTGAACGTACGGACCAGAGGAAACTCGATGGTTGAGACTGCGAACGAGCAAACATGGAAACTCATCAAAACGAGGAAGTATCTTATGTCGACGCTAGAAATCGTCCACTTTTAAGAACAAGGCCAAAATGGATTGTAGCGGCTACCTCGGGGGTTAGGTCGAACAGGAGTTCGCACCGGACCTGTCCTTCCGGTCCGCGATGGCTTTGCCTGCCATTGTCGGTCAACATTAGCGCAGCCTTCGTCACGGTGTTCGGGAAACGCCACAAAGCTGCTTTGATAGCGCCCGTCCGCTGCTAGTTCCGGTCAGACCATTTCCAAGATGAAACTCTGACCACGTTTATTCAGGGATCGAAACTGCAAGCTGAATGTTGACTCGACCCTAACACTGCGCCATCGACGTCCACGTTGGTCCATATACGTCCAAATTAAACGCTCGCGCCTGGTCTATCCCGAAATATCGCCCGCTTTGTGACCCGATCACGGGTTTGTGACTCCTTTAACGAGTGTTTCATCCAAGTAGAATTCGTAAATCGTGCGTTTCGCAATAATATTGGGTCTTCCATGGTTAGAGGTGCTCGAAAAATGCATTCCTCGTCCTCGTTTTCTTAAATCGATTAATCCACCCCTTCGTGCTGCGACAGCGATCTCAGGGAGAAGAGTCTTCGCAACGACTAGTAGACTAAACGACACCATCGAGGTTCATCGGTAGCGGAAAACGCAATTAAGGTGGTTTGGTCAAAAATGAGATCGCATTTTTTTCGTCGCTATTTCGGAAGATTTTCGGTAATTATTCGTACTTAATTACTGGCGCAAGTTTTTTAATCATGCAATCACTTAGTATACCTTTCATTGGTGAGTATGATTTTACTTTTAAACTAATTTGCTGTTTATCTATAAATTTATTTCCTTCGGAAGTAAACGAAGTCGTATTTCGTTCCAAAACATCAGGCTTTAGTACAGTATTAATAAGTTTTTCTGAAACAGTGACGTCATATATAGCTTCGTGGAAATTTTCCCTTTAATTTTCCTTCGTTTCCTGGTATCCTTTCCCTTAAATTTCCCTCTTCACAACGTGCAATATTGTTGAACATTTTAGCGGAGCGGTTCGCAACATTGTTGAACTTCGCTCGCACTCAACTTCCCATTTAATCGCGTTTACAGTGTAATTTCGGCTGGCCGATAAGCTCCGGGAACCGTACGCGGCCGTGATTCGACCCCGTTTCCGGCTACGTAGCGGATGAATCGGCCAATCATCGATCGGCGGAGCGTGTTACTCGAATATCGCCTCGCGAGAGGGCTCGAGCGCTCGACTGAAGAGCGACGAGAGCCCGGAGAAAGGAGCTGATCCCCGGAAACGAGGTCGAAGGCAAATTTGCACAGGTGATACCCCCTTCTCCGCTATCCCAGCTTCTCCGCGGCTTCCTGATTCTTGTTCAAATCGCGCCGTGTTTGGACCGTGGTTCGTCTCAGGGAATCTCCTCTTCTGTCCCTTCGGTTAATGGCCGATGTTTTTTTGTAGGAAGCGGACGTCTCTTGAACGAGGAAAGTAAGGTCGTCGGGCGAGTGTAATTCGTGCGATTGGTTACTAAATTTGATAGGTTTGAACTTGCTGCTACATAGAAGGAATAGAGAAATTCCAACTTTGGTAGGCATATGCGAACAAAGATATGGAGTCAGTGATTACTTACAATTTACCTTTAGCGTATTTTTTGATATCAAGCACAAATATTCCAGCGGCGATTATCGATCAGGGTCGAGTCGACACTATCTACTGGTCGAGCGTGTTATTTCGATCGGCTTTTCTTTTCCGACGAGCGCTGGCAAACTCAGTGTCTGCCCGGCACGGGTCCACTTCCCTGACGAAGCTTCGCTTTCCCCACTCGGGGACACTCGAGCAGACCAGCCGCTCTGCTCTCTTTTCGTCCTCTCTAGTCGCCGCGGCACGGCGCTCAGTTTTGCCAGGGCTGCTCTTCGCTCAACAATCGGCTCTTTCTTCCAACTCGTGACCGACTTCCGAAGGAGAGGCCTGCTTTTTCCCGCGGTAACTTGTCCGGCTTCCTGAAACGTCGCGAGTGGTAAGCCCCAGGCGAAAGCAACGATCGAAAAACGGATTCGCGCGGGACACGTACTTCCTTTGATTCAGACGCCTCCTCTATTTCTCTTTCGCGGGGAAACGTACACGCGGAATATATTTAAGACTTGCGGAAAGTAAACAAAAAATAAGATAAATAATTACTTCTTCTTTTACGTAGACTTTCGAATGACGGACCGTATCGAATAAGCCTCGCCAGTTTCCAATTGATTACGTACACAAATTTATATTCCGACCCTCCTTCGAATTTACCCTCGTCCTCGTTTAAAACTTTTTTGGACTATCCGCAACGTCGAAAACTCGAATCTTGATCCAGCAACGAAGGGAGTCGGCTGGAAAGCTGTGGAAAGTTCGACGAAAAAGCGAATCAGGAAAATGAAATCACCAATTTGCTCGGCGATCTCAACCATCGGTTTCATCTCGAAAGACCACCGAGCCGGCAGCGAGGCATACTCGTGGAATCAGAGACTCGATCGAGCGCCTCGATCCAACTATCGAACGACCGTGTATCGCAGCCACGGCCAGTACACCGCGGCGCTTTTAGTTTCAGCGAAGAAAATGAAGAGCGAGAGAACGGAAAGTCGGTGGTGTCTCGACAAGAGCGGAAAAGGAACCTGCGAAGCCGCTGACAAAACGTTCGACGAACCGGGAACGGTTCGAGAATCGACGATTCGCGACGCCTTCTAGGAGGACGAAGGTTGCTCGTTCTAGGAGAGCAACGTTCCCGCACGATCTCTACACGGAACGACGACGTCGCGACGAGAAGAGGCCTCCAAGATATTCCTCGGATCCAGAAATCCCCGCGTTTTCGAGAACGATCGTTTGTTAATGCGCGCATACGCGGTTGCACATCTTGTTCAATCCGTTCCTCTGGCGAAACCGAGGATCGGCGAATTTGAACCTCGCCTCGTATACGTGACAGCTGCCCCTTTGTCGCCAAAACAGGATCGAACAGCAGATACGATGAACGTCAGTCGAAGAAGATGCGTTCAACGATCGGCATTCGATTCGTTCGATATTGAAATCGTCGCTGAAAAGCACCGCGAACTCGACTTCCGAAGACGGCTGGCGCGGTCTCCGCAATTCGCGTTACTTCCTGGATCCGCGTTCGCGCGGATCGGCGAAACACGACCGTAGTCGCGAGGAAGCTCGATCGCTGGCAGGGATTTTGTTCGCTTATTTTTACGATGGAAATGTTTACCTCCTATTCGATGCTGCGAAGTGGAACTATCTTCTCTCGGGGACTTTGTCGCGTGCGTACGTCATCTAAATTTTCTTCGGCGATGATAGTCGACCCGGGGGAGGAAAATCGGGGGAACGGAACGAAGGATCGTCGGATGCCGAACGAAGATAAAAATAAGAAGCATCGCGGCTACGGTCGTCGGGCGCAGATCGCGCGACTCGTTAGATAAGCGACATCCCTGGTAGCCGTAAGAGAATCGATCTTTGAGAAGCGTTCGCGGTGCAAGGACACTGCGGAAATTGATCGGCGCTGTTTTCAAGGAGTCTCTTAATTCGGTAGGTTTAACCGAGCAAACGATAATTTTAAGGATAGGGGAGGAGAAGGTTGGTCGGGAGGTTCGTCAAGAGGAGCGTTGTAAGAAGAAAAAGAAAGTGAAAGACGCTGTACGATGGCGGTCGTAAAACGTAATGACGATTAGAGTTGTATCCTTGCGGAATCGATCGATAGAGGGTCCCTTTGGACTTACAAAGCGCAAGGGAAGCAAGATATCCTCGTCGGTAGGGACCCACGTACCTTGGTACTTTAAATAAAGTAAGATGATGCCCTCGTTCTTTCAAAACTCTACGAAGAGTGTCCTGTTTTCTTTAATTTTTGTTCCTTTAAATGGTAATTTATCGATTCCACCGTTGCGCCCTGATTGGAATCGGCGTCGGGTCGATCGTTGTGTTTCGTCGTCGTTACCGACGGTTGTTTATTTATTTCGACCGCGATAGTATCTCGTCGACCATTCGTATCGCGAAATTAATCCCCGTGCGGCAGAAAACTATCCGGGGAGGATCGATGAATCCACAATCGACCCGCGCTCGCCTAGGGGGTGAAACGGTTTTAGAATTTCAGAGGAAGTCTCCCTCGAGCGACAGGAAGCTACGAAGAATCGGTGTTTTAATTCAACGATGCCCGGCGTCGTTGAATGATCGTTGTAAATAATCGTGAAGCCGGTTAGGGGAGTCTCGTGTTGTCTGTAATTAACTTTGTAATTAATTGTAATCGATCTACGCGAGCGAATATGAACAAAAAAGAGAGAGGATATATTATATTATAATTGCAAATAAAAGAAGAATGGAATATATTATATATATTATATCTACATAAAAATACAGATATATTAAACAGGTAAACTTACACACACACACACACACATACACACATACACAGAGACAGACAGACACACGAATACAATCATAGACACTCGAGAATGCGAGTAAGCATGGAAAGACCCACAGGAGAGGGACACACGTACCTACGCGCTACGAAACTCACACACGCACACTTGCAGCACCCTTGCGTCGCGCAATAAAATAAATTCTAAATCAATAATTTCAAACTAGAATGCGTGCCTGACTGAGTGAGTGGGAGATTAACCTCTTCGAGGCACCGAGCCATCCTCTTTTGGAACTCTTTGGAAACGTAATGGTAAGTGCACGTAATTTCGACGCTGATCCGACCGCGACGCGCTTTAAAATTACTTTATCGATATACCGATCCGAGTATATCGCTGTGTATAGCGTATAGTCAGTATTAAGAATTCGACAAATGCATTCGGTTCGTTATTTTGAATAAATAATATATTTTATAACCATGGATGAAATTTAAAAATGCTTCGATAACTGGGATATTTATCTTACATATCTCGTTGGTAAAATTTCCAACAACATCGTCGCGAGCTTGACGCTCGTTGACCGATAAATGAGTTTATTCGAAATAAAAGGCAATCTACCGTAAAATTGAAATTATGATACGCAGTTGTGTATACCGTGCATGCTTGGCTTAACTCGAAAATTTTTGGTGCAACTGAAATTCATTTTTCCATTCTTTCTCTCTCGTTTCAGCAATCTTTCCACGTGCCTCGATTCCACCAAATTAACAATCGCCAATACGAGCGAAACGTGTGCGTATAGTATTCGAGATTTTACGGTATTCACGTTTCCACGGACACGTACAAAAGATTACTCGAGGTTGTTGAAAATATACGAGGAAAAAGTTGCTTTCGGAGACGCGGCTCGGTACCTCGACGATAAGAGAAAAAAGACGTAAACCTGAATATAAGTAAATTAAAGAAAAGATTATTATATAATACGATCGTAGCGATAATCGAGAATAATACGTCGGATCCTTTGTCGTCCAAAGAACTGCAGCTGTATCGAGAGATAAAAATTACGAGCGGATAAAAATTAACCAGGTGAATGGCCAGCCGAGAAAAAAGTACGACGATGAGAAGCAAGATGGAATCGAGCGCGGCTGCGAACGGTGGGACTCGAGTTTAATCCGCGTTCAAAAATTACTATTCTCCCGTCCGCTTCTTGGTTTCGATTCGAATCAATCGGAAAATAATCCTTTCGTTTTTCTTCTTTCTCAAATTCAGTGAAACAAAAGGAAACAAAAGGGAGCAAACGAACGGCGTACTCCTACCGTATTCGTTGATCGAGATAAATTGCCGTCGGGTTAAACTTCGATGCCATCGCTGACGCTTTACGAGCGCGTTATAGAGAATAGCGAGCAAAGAGCAGTGTACGATGAAAATATAAGCAGCGTTCGCGAGTAGCTTCGAGTCTAGTCAACCGTGACTAAATTAGCCTCCGATTGTCGGTGAGCGTTACACCCTTTCTTCCGGTTCGCGAACCATTTCCGGTCTTCGGTCTCGAATTTCTCGCGACACACGCGCGTTGATATTGAAATGTTCACTTAGCGAGTAACGAATAAATGGTTGCTGTTCTCTTATTCGTTATTCGTACGTAAACTAGACTTTTGCTCGTCTCTGATCTCGAACTCGCCGGATCGCCGAGAGTCTCGGTTCCTTCGTCGCGAGTTCTTCTCGGTCCCTCGAGGGTGGAGTCGACGCTGCGTCAGAAATTGCGTCGTTAGCATCGAGCCGATCGAACTTGAGCGACCGCTAAATAAGCGATTTTGAAGGGACGAAATAGATCAGCGCACAAAGTTTCGAAAAAACGTAATAATTAGAAGCGGGCCAGTTTGGTCGCATCCAAACACATTCCTGAACGCGACGGAACGTTTACTTCTAATTATCGCATTCTTTCTCGCTTCTCGAAACTGGTGTAAACGGGAGCAACGGAGAGAAACGAGTCTTACGACAATCGCGATGCAGATGCGCGTGCGGAATAGATGCGCCGAGAGAAAAACTGCTCGACGCTCTTCGGCCATTTCCAAGCGGAAACGACGGAGCCTCTCCGATCGAAGAAGGAAACAACAGATAACCGCGAGGATGGTTTTTCTCGATGCACTATAAATCTCGCGAGCAAAGCGTGACCGGATCGCAGGGATCGCGAGAGAACTGGGAAGAATCGCGATCACGCAACAGAGGAAAGCAGAGAACGCTATAACGAGTCTTTCAATCCACTACCGTACTGCCAATTCTTCCGAAACGACGCGTAATAAGTTTAGTAAGGGAGATTAAGGCGAGCAGCGGCGGCGTTTGTCCGTTTTCTTTCGTCGCTTTCGAGTCCTGACGAATGACTCTCCTGCAATTTTTCCGGAGGGACGCGTTACCGAGGGTTCTACTTTTCATCGGCGATTAGAAAATGTTTTCGATCGTCTCGAGATTTCGAAGCTTTCACCCCTCGATATATTTTAATTCTTTGCCCGTGTACAAAGTTTCGTTGCGATCATACGTGACTCGTCCTCTATTTGTATTCTGTGAAGAATAGCGCTTCTTTTTTTTATCGAATTGTATCTCTGGTAGTCGGAAGAGCACGTTTATATAGAAACCAATCTTTGATCCGAGGTGTATACAATTTTCTTGAAAAGTTTAAAGTGTGGAAAACGATCGGATCCCGCGCAACCGTTTCACCGTTTAGTTAGCACTTTCTCGAAACTCTGTCGCGAGCGATGAACGTTTTCCCCTCTCGGGAAAAAGAACGAAACGAAACGAAACGAAACGAAACGAATCACGAGTAACGCGGTGTGTAGCTGACGCTAACTGGAAAAGCTTGAATTTGCGCCGCCCGATCGATTCGCGTCCTCTGTTACCGCTTTGTTTCGCTGGCCGCGCCGATTAAAAGTGGCACCCTCGCCGTTCCTTTCGCCGCGCCGGTCACTTTTTTCACCGTGAAAGGAAAGCGATTCCTTTGTAACCAGGACACCGTCCACAGGACCTGCGAGCGTAGCAGGATCGCCGAATGTTCCTGACGCGCTCGCTCGTATTTGCGATTTACGGTTTTGTAGCCGGGGTAGGCTCACGGGAGTTCCAAAATTGTTGTCACGACGTCTCCGCTCCTGGAACGTGCACGCCTCGATTTTCAGCATCGGTTATACAGGCTCGATTACACGAAACCATCGTGTCTGGTGTGTGGTGCGCGGTGTCGAGAAACGGTGGTTGCAAACTTCGAAGGCTGACGGAAGAAAATTAAAGTGTTTACATGCTGTCGAGGAATGTTAAAGTGCCCGATACGATCGACAGGATTACAGCATCTCTCCCCTAAATATCTCCCACGAAGAGTTCTTCGATTCACGTTCATCGAAACCATCTATTGGATCGATTTGCTCGTAGAGTTTGCAGCTGTAGTTTCCCAACGCTGTTTGGCATGCGTAGTCGTATCCCTTCGTTCCACGGTAAAGCTACCTTTTCGCGAATCGTGTCTCGACACCAGTTTTGGAATTCTCCTCTTCCCGGTCGTAATTAGACAATTATGTAACGTATACTCGTAGCGCAGAAGCAATCGAAAGTGTTGGCCACGCGCAAATATCGCGCTCGCGACCGGATTCACCGATCGGAACAATCGTCTGCTGCGCGAGACAAGGAGTTCAAGGCCGCCAAGATTTCCTCGTTGTTCATATATTTTCCTAATTTATTCCGCGACAAGAGACACCGTCGCTTTCCTTTCGTGCTGCCAATGGACGAGATCGCAAATACGTAATTCCTTACTTAAAGTTCGATTCACTTTGGAGCTTCGAGAAGCGTTCAACGCGCACATCGATCGATCGAGAAGGCTCGATCGACACTCTGATCGACGGACATTCTGATCGAAACATCCCCGATCGACTGGCCGCGACTTCCGTTAGAAGTGTTTCCGAAGCTTTTTAACATTATCATAACGTATCATATCGTATAACACCGAGCGTCTCTCGACAGGAAATTGGCAAGTCGAGACCTATTCGAACGGAAAGCGACGGTGTGGTTTTCGATTCACGTCCGCGTCGACTCGCAACGAGAGTCGAAGAATGCTCGAAAGACGACGGAGCGAGTTCCCCGTCGTCCCTTGCGCGAACCTCTAGTTTCCTATGCGTAAATCTAGATCTGTAAGCGAATGTCGACGACAGCGTTGGGCAAATTTTGACTAGACGATGATCGAAATTATCGTTATAAATAAATAAAACGTAATAAATAAATGAATAAATAAATAAATAAATAAATAAATCTTCGGTTAATCGTTATTCTTCGGTGCTATCGAGTCGAAAACTTGATATTTTATTTTGCGCCCAATTCTACAGGACTTGGTCGTCTTTTTCGATGTTCAAAATAAATCTCGCAAAATTGACTATCGAATCGGTAAACATATTGAACGCGTGAAAAGAAATTTGTTCAATGAAAGCCCAACTCTGATCGACGGCGACTGTCTCTTCGGTTAGAGGCTCGTTGGTACGCGCTGTGTATCAACCATTTGGCAATAACGATATTTTTAGTCGAATTATAAATGAAAGGGTCGAAACGGAAAGAGAAAGTTAAGAGAAACGTTGAGTACTCGAACGGAGAAGAAAGGAAGATGGTAAGACGGTTTATCGACAGCGGTCAAGCGCCGGCACGTTGTAACGAGTACACCCGATAGATGTAACTAGGAACGGGGTGAAGACATTTTAGCCAAAAAGGTGTTGTCCGTCTTCGGTAGCTTCCACGCCTTACTCAACAGTGAAAAATAAATTATAATTCGTATTTAAGAAGCCCTGTATTGTCGTTCATTTCGATCGATTGAGATTCATCGTCACGGGGACCTTTTTTTTCGCTTTGAAAGTTCCCGAGCAAACGGAACGTGGACAGCGTCGAGTAATTTCTGTCAGCGGCAGGCTAGCGGGATTCTGCCACTACCGATCTCTTCTTTCTCCCTGGTCGTTGCACGCGATTACTTGTCACGACGAAACGACCAACTTTTTCCAAGCTGTCGATCGAACGAGACAAACGGTCGTGTCCAATCGTGACAAATTTCCCGGGTCAAACGAAAAGAAAACACGAGTTTGTGAAATTAATTGGTGTTTGCGAAACGCCAGCCGCAATAGCGAGAGCGTGTGTCGGGTGGGCGCGCGTTTACGCGGGAAATCGATTCGTGTTTGCGTATACGAACAGGACGTGCTCGTTACCTACTCGAAGGCTTAAATGGGACGCCATGGTGTTTGCAGCCCGGGGCGTAAACGTCGTTCCTCGACGAAATTTATGGCTAGATTGTGGACACTGCTCGCGCGGCTTTTTCGAAGCTCCCGGGTCGAGCGGCATCGACGCGATGCTCGCTTTATTTTCAGAACCCGTCGGTCAAGGACGCCGATAGGAAGAAGCTGACCCAGGAAAGTGGATTCTGTAACGTTGCTGATCACGTTGATGCACTCGGCCTGTCGTCAATCGATTCAAGCGAGGAGAGAACGTTGTTCGCCGATGTTTCTTCTCGATCCATTCTACTCTAACATTATTTCAGACAATGTCCATCGTAAAATATTTCCTTCTACGCTTCGAGATCAATAGAAATATTTACCTGGATAAGAATTTCGTCTATCTCTGTACGCACGTCATCCTGACAACGTCGGTGGACTGCGAAGAGTTAAATTTGATTACTCGAAATCGAAACATCGCTCGTGTACGTTGATTTAGCTCAGCGGTCAAGTTCCATGTTAAATTCCACGTTGAAATCGAAATCTCTTTCTCGCTTCGATCCACGATCGAATCGTCGCGATCGGGGACCGTAAATCAACGGCTTCCCGTGCTAATTTCGTCCAACTATTCGAGACCGATCGAGCAATACGCCGGCGAAGCCCGAAACTGGGTTACCGTGTCGAATAACATTTTTATGAAACCACTCCGCGATAGCAAGATTTTCCTTGACGCAGTGTCGTCGATAACGGAGCTGCCTCTTCTTCCTCTCGGTTTGGAATACGATTTTAATAATTAATTCTTTATTCGCGTCTAGGAACGTTTATGCTGCGACCTGCGCGATTGTTTGGATGGAAACGAACGACTCGAACCGATACGATTTCGGCAACGATCGCCGAACCATTCGCGATCGGCACGTATCCGGAAGCGGCATAATTATTTCGCTGTCTCTCGTAGCGTGTCCGCTTCGACTCGCCGGAATCCATTAACGAACGACGGGCTTCTCGTTAACAAGATTGCCGACAGAAAGTCGATAGTTAATTACGCAAATGAAGGGATCTCGTTAAGGGTTGCCACGGCTCTGTCTTCGATCCGCGAACTACGATCGATCGACGTCCGACGTGATCGATCGTGTTCGTTGCAATCACGGTTACGTTAATTGGCTGTACGCGTCTTTATTAACCGTATTCGCGGAAACTAAGGACTCGCGAGTCAGAGGAGACGAGAAGAGAGACGCGTTCTAATTTATTCCCACTCGTATATTTCACTTGCTTTCCGTGTTCGATCGGTTCTCGTAATGAATTCTCTAACCTTGCGACTCGTACCGGTAGTTGTCGTTTCTGATTTTCGAAAGTTCTTCGCAGACGGAAGGGGTTGAAGCTGAATGAAAACCGAGGGTTTCGCAAACGCGATAAATAAAGGGGAATAAAAATCGCGCGCGAATCGACATAGGCGACGCAATTGCCAGCGCTCCGTGGGGAAGTAGCATCGGCAAAGGGATTAAGGGGTGAAGCCGAGAAGGAGGGTTAAATCGTCGAAACGCGTCGGAGCGCAAAAGGGACGGCTGAAAGCTCTGTTCGGGTAAACAGAGAGAAAAAGAGGCATAGCTGGCCGGGGGGTTGGATGGGTGAAACAGACGAAAGTATCTTCATCGCGGGCACAAAGACTCTCTCAGGATAAAATGCCATGATTAAAAACTCTCGCCACCCACTTGGACGCGTGTTTGTACACACGTACGTTCGTGCTCGCGGAGTCTCTCTCCGGCATTGTGTCGGCCTTTCAGCGTCCCGTCACTCCCACTCCCTTTCTTTCTCTCCAAATGAAAGCTCGGTAGCTGGAATGGGTTAGGAGACGTCGTGAATGGGCAGCGAGGGAAAGAGAGACAGACAGCGGCTAGATCGGTCCGCAAAGCAGCGCTTTCAAGGAGTGAAACGACCTCGAGTGCCACAGCCGGCGCGCGTTGGGCGAAAGCAGATTGCCCAGAGAGAAAATTATCATCGTTGCCACGCGGAAATCATCCCCGAAACACGGGGAGAGTTGACCAAAGAAACGATCGAGCGGAGGTGGAGTAGAAAGATTATCTGAGATTCGCGATAGAAATTTGTGGGGGATGAAACCTAACAACTAAGCGGAGGGAGCTTGTTAAAATTCTATTCAAATGTACCATTTCGCGGCATTATTAAAAAGCCAATGGCGAACGGTAACGACGGAAGAGTCGACGACGCGTTGTTTTAATTAAGCGGCGGGAGAGGAAAGAAGTAGAACATCTCCCCGAGACAACGTTCCGTCGCGAAACAGAGACACCTATTCGGTCGCGAAGCAATTACGCCGCCTCGCGTGTGGATTTAATTATTCTCCGAGAAACCGGAGACGGCCTGTCGTTTCGTCCCAATTAATTACTGCTGGTCGGTAACTGCCGAGGTTCCCTTTACGTGGCTAAAAGCCTTGCGACTTAAGGTGACGCCGACGGGAAGGGAAAGCCGAGAATCCTCCTCCCTCGATTGTCGAGTTCTTCGTCGACTCCGAGGCCGTGCTCTGTCGCAGAAACGAAAATTTCCTCGTTTCGCGTTGAAAATGACGATCGCTTCTTCTCAACGATGCTCATTTAGCGCGTTCGACTCGTGCAAGGATGACGAGTAACTCCTCGTGTAGGAATATACCCAATTGCTTTCTCGATTTCGGGAACGATATTCTCCATTTCTCTTTTACTTTCTGTACCGTACACTCGATGATTCCGATCAGTTTAGTCTCGATCGATTTGGTAAGCAATCGCGTTTAACCAGCTTTTCAAAGAATCCTGTCGATGAATATGTTACGAACTCTGCGCAAAGGAAAAGTGGTAAGTTCAAGTTTGTTTAAGAATATGGAGTCCAGGTGCCGAGCTCTCGAACCCAAGGTTCAAAGATCGTTTGCCCAATCCGTCGGCAGCATCGAGAGGACAAGGGAGACCAAAAATGGACGATACTTGACGAGGTGCCAGGAAGTTTGCGAAGGGAAGTCTGCGAACTGAACGAATATATTTTGGAGTTTTATGGAATAAACGGAATACTTCCGCAAAGCCTCGGATCTTTTTCATTTTCCACTCCTCAACTTCCACTTCCCATACATTTCACTTTTAACGGAGGAAAGAATCTTGCCGTTTGAACATTAACCATCGTATATAAAGTATTAATATTTCGTTTATTTCATCCTAAACTCTGCGATCTCGCGTAACGAGTCAACTGTGACGTAAGCATGTCGACGTTACAGCTTGCAGTCCCGTTCGTCGTTGTTTCCGACGTTAATAAAATCTGACCGATTTTCAAAGCGGCGAGTGTCGTTGGTTCTATATTCTTCGTTGCGAATGGATCGCTTCTTTTTTTAAGACGAGATCATATTTTCTCATCGTTCGATTTCGAAGAAGAGCGGGGCTGCACGCGTTAACGTCTAACGTTAAAAATATCGAGTTTATCTATCGTAGCAAAACTGGGGGAAATTACGGTAAATAATCGGAAGGCATGCACAGGGAACGATCAATCATGGTAAACGGATCGAAAATGAATTTTTTCGATAAAGGTGACACGACGCGATCCGTTTCGGATCGATCTACCTTCCACTGGATCGCGCCGAAACGAGCGAACGGGTGAGTACATTCGATCGATCGATTTACACATCTTCGAGTAATCCTTAACGCGACTTAATTGCTAAGATACTTATCGTTAATTAATCGCACTTGAACGGGATGTGTGTGTGTGTGTGTGTAAGTGTGTATGGTCTCTATATAAAAGGCATTGAAAATTCTGTTAGCAGACTTTCTCTCGTAGAAAAATCGGCCGGTTCGTTCGTTTCTCTGTTAACTGGCTCGATTGTTGCTCTCCCAGCATCGCGAAGACTCGTTTCGCTAAACGATGCGCTGTTCAAGGATCGTTTTCGATACCGCTGTAACCGTGAAACAGAATCTTTGCTACCTAGTTGAAAGGAATGTTCCAAATACCCTCGTCGATCTATCGAACTCGCTCGAGAACCGAATCGAGTTTACTTTGTACCAGATCTCGACGATTTTCTTTCGCGGTTGCAGCGGTCTCGTAACTCTAGAATCACCGAGCGCCAGTTAACAAAGACGAAAGGCTTCTGTTTGAAAGCTGACGTCGATTTCGCGGTCTTCGTTCCCGTCGATTTTCTCCTTCTTGGGGAGAGTAGTCCGTCTACAGGAAGGTGCTCCAATAGACGACGTTCAAGATAAGAAAGGAGAACGGGAAGAAGAATCTGGAGAACTTGTCGATGTAGATCGCAGTCGCCCGGCCCTGACAACAAGTGTCGTATTGCACGGACAAAGGCCTCACAGGACTTCTGCTCCTTCCGGATTCGTTCCTCATCGGCGTCTGTCGGTCAAATTGCAAATTGAATTAGTAGTTGTTTTAAATCCTCTAGTGGAACAGCCTGTATACAGGTCCATGAATTGTTACATTATCGAGTAAAATAATTGCTACGTATTAATCTTCCGTCGGTTGATATTTGTCTATTTTCTGTTTTCGCAGGCAAAGCAAGACTAGCCCGAATTTTTACGATAGAAGAACGGCATCCCGCCCTCCTCGTGTCGCAGAGTGCATCAGAACGCTGCGATTGGCGAAATGCAAACATTTTGTAACAAAACGGATCGAATAAAATGGCTGTATTAGACGTACGCGTTCGTTCGTTCGTTCGTTCGTTCGTGCACGTATTTTTACAGGATAAAGCTTGCCGATGTTGGTTTCGTTTACTTCAATTAGAAAGCGTAGCGTTAATTCCGCGCTGCAGCGTAACCAAGTAATACCATTCATTTGTGTCGCGTTTAATACCGTAATAGCGTCACTATCGTATACGGAAAGGGCAGGTGTTACCCGTCTCGAAAGAAGAGAACTAACTAAACAGAGGGAGGAATTTTCGTCGAAGTAATAAACCGTGGATTCGGTCGGTGTACAAACATTAAGATTCACGAGCGGAAACCGAAATACAACGATGATACATCTTTTAGGCGGCTGACTCGTTCGCGAATGCGATAAATTACACAACCACGTGTCCCGAATTTCTCCAAAACGACCGAGCTCCGTCCAACGTCAAGGTTCGAATTAAATTTGATGAATTAATCTCCGGTTTCGCGTTCATATTTTATTCAAAGCACGCGACGCAATCTTTCCCTCGATCCTCGTGCACGCAGTCCCTCGTAAAACAGAAACTTCCCCGCAGGATGGCCGTAAAATGCGAACTCTGCGCCCGAGTTCGCTCAAACTTTGTAGAGCGGGACTGAGAAAATTCGAAATCCTTTTTATGTCGTATTGTCGTAACGCAAAAACCTCGAATTCGTTCGTTCTAGATCGGAATATCGTCGGACGATTCCACGAGTTTCGATATTAACGACCAAACGCGACGGAAACCGCTTTTCGACGGCGGCGATCAGCGACGCGAAGTTCTCGGTCGAACGAGCTTTACGACTTGGCGAAATATTTCTTTGGCGTTTGTTTAAACGACCGTACAAAACATTACATTTTTTTCAGCGCTCCCCTGTTCGTTTTCGAAAGTTCGACACTCCGCGTCGTTGAGTCTTCGCGAATTCTTTTTTCTTTTTTTTTCGGAATCGGCGCGGTAGAAAGTTGACGTTTCGAGCCATCGTGCCAGCGAAATCGCAAGAATTCGTCGGCGCGCGTGTTAATTACAGTTGTCACACTTTTAAGGTACTAAAGTCGGAGTTGTAAGTGTGTCAGGTGTTGTTAGAGCTTCAGGTATACCGGGTGTTGGCAGATTTTTATCTACGTCCGCGACGTTCCTAGAGTTCCTTCTTGTAATTTATCGCGCGTGTTTCGTAACGTTGGACGGAGAAAAATATCGGAATCCCGAACTCTAAAAAGCGTCGAACTCTAAAAAGCGTCGAACGAGGACCAGAGAAAACATGCTTCCACCTTTTTCCTCGCGTCCAGTACATTTTTTGTTTTTTTTTTCGTTCCCATCTCGTTCCCGGAGGCAAGTGAAACTCGGCCGCGGTCGCGTTAATTCTTTACCATCCAACGCTGTTCGCGGAAGCGGAAACGAACGGGAACGATTGTTTGTTGTTATTCCTGTCCGTCTGCACGACATACCGAAACGCTTAACCTCAACTAATTGTAAGTTCGAGGTGCATAATTATTCGCCGAATGAGAAACGAGCACCCGCCGGTCTACCGCAGCTCCGTGAATTATGTCCACCGACTACGAAAACAGGCCACCGTTTTTCTCTGTTTTGTAATCTATGTTCCGTGTCCCCGTAATTTCCACGCTCGACCAAATTCGACGCTAATTAACGCGCGGTACCGTTCTTCATTTCTGCTTTCGATGGTAAATCGATAAGTAGTCGAGCAAATTAATTCGTCACACCTCTATCCATGGACTCTTTCTTTTACGCGTGTACATAGAAAAATATGTTATAGTAGAAATCTTACTTTGAATTCGTCGATGGCCTCCCGGAGATCCTCGTCCGAGTAGCCCTTCATAGCTTTGGTGGCCACGGGTCCCATGTAGTTGTTCACGACGGCGAACTCCATCAGCGAGAGGAACACGAACACGCTGCAGGAGGACATCCACACGTCGATGGCCTTCACGTACGAAACGGGCGGCAACGACTGCTGGGACTGCGTGTTTTGAGTCGCTGCGAGCAAACGGAAACGTTTCTCGGTCAGCAGGTGCTCGCCTCGCCTCGGACTAACGAATTCGTTCGTTCGGTTCTTCGATTCGCATGCGAATTCGCTCCACCCTGTGCTAATATTGAATCGTCGCCGCACAGTTCACCGGACATCCTCTGTGTACCTATTCCGCTACGCTTTGCGTCACAACCGCATTGCTGTTTCGTTTCGTGCACCGTGTACCGATTGCGTTACCTCGCTAGGCTGAATCGTTCGAGCGAATTACTCGCGAGTTGCATTATAACTCGGTAGCTGCTATTTCCAAAAATACCAACCACGCGCCTCGGCTCCTAACATAATCTTACAACCACCGACTGCTTTGTGAAATTTCCGCGTTACCACCCCTCCCTTGACTTGGAAACAGTTGGAATCATCCCTTTGAAGCGTGTCGAAGGTAAATCTTCGAACCTCGATTTAAAGACATCTCGTCATCCCAGTTAGCCCGATGACAAACACGCTTCGAAACGTCCTTCCTTCCCCGCTTTTCTCCCTGTTCGATTCGTTTCAGCTGGAAAACGGCTGGTACCCGGCGCTGAAACGGACGAACCTTACCGAGCGTTAGCAGCGACGTGACGCCTAGGGTGACCCGAGCCGGAATCGCTTCGGGTTTAATCCAGAACGCGATCCAGGACATGACCACGATCAGCGCGGACGGTATGTACGTGTGGAACAGGTGATAGCCGAGCCGCCGGCGCAGATTGAACACGATCTGTATGCACGTAAAGTTCCCCGTGGAGTACTCGATCGTGCAGTCGGTCGTGTAATTGTTCGAGATGTCGAGTTGCGGCAGCTCGATCTCCGGGTTCACCACCAGCGGGTCCGTCATGTTCCAGATGAACACCAGATCCTGAGTCGTGTGCGACACTGAAACCGAGTTCACGGTGTACGACCATTCCGACGATCTTCGATGAGATTCTTACAGAAGTACGTATCGTCGAGTTCTGTTTACGTTCGTTTCGAAACGCGATCCGTTTGTGATTTAGGGAGAGGGACTCGGAGGGATGCGCGTTACCCGGAAACGGATACAAAGATGGCTCGAGCGACGCCCGAGCCTCGATTAAATCCGATTTTAAGTAATTCCTGCGCGCTGGATTTCGAGGGGAACTCGCAAAGTTCGGGCAAAGGCGGGTCTAATGAGATTCTCGGAGCAGCGACGAGCAAAATTTAATCAAAGTAACGATTGACGATTACGGCTCGGACGGATAATCGTGATTCGCTCTCAATTCGTTTGACGACTGAATTAATCGTGAACCGCTCGCGTCGATTGACAGCCAAATTAATCGTTAATTTCTCGGATATCGCATCAGTCTTATTAAATAATGAATCGCACGATTGACCCGATTCTCGGTTAGTCCAAGTAATCGGCGATCGCAAGCGACTACGCAATTAATTCAATCGATTAATTAGTCGACTGTGCCAATTTCGTGTATTTTGACTCCCGATACTTACGGCTTTCGATCATCATCGAACAAATTTGAGTGTCGTGGGGGTAGGACTCGAACTTCATCGCGCAAGAGAGAACGAGAGTCAGTCTGAAAGAAAGCAATGCGACTATCATTATTCTCGTTTGGCTATCGTTACCTTGGACCGGTCGTTTTTCGTTCGCGGCTCTCTCCTTAGAACGATCGCATTTGCAAAGTATACTTAATAACTCGATGTCCAACAGAGCACGGTTATTCGGAAAGTGTCGTGGCTCGGGGCGGGCGCGCGCTCTCTCGGAAGAGGAAATTGCATTTTCCATTAATCGCCCGGCGATCCTTACTTTGACATGTAAAGCAGGGTCTTGTCGTGGTAGAGCCAGAGGTAATGATTAGGTATCGACATCTCGTGGAAGGTGACCTTCTTCGCGTTCTTGAAGAAGCAGTCGGGTCTCCAGATATTGTGCAGCCAGTCCACGTCCAATATTCTGTACTCTTCGGACATGTTCTCCGGAAGTCGGAGTCTAGAGTCCCGCCAACTTTGAGCCAAAAATATATCCGCGACGTACGTCTGAAAAGCAGACGAACCCTCAGCTCTTAATAAAACTCGTAATCCTTTGACCGCGTTCCGATAGCTTTCCTCGAGCTCTAGCACGCGACGCTAAAATTTCAATTTCGATTTGGAACGGACCGTGATCGGTTTTTCCCTAAACAATTCGGCCGAATAATCATCGGACGGATACGCGAGGAAGTGGGAGACCTTACGAAGCCCGTCGTCGCCGCGGGAGTTAATCGAGACAGAGAGAGAGAGAGAGAGAGAGAAAGAGAGAGAGAAATTCACGGGGCGAATTACCATGGATTCCTCGTTTATAGAGTCGATGCTGAGCACCGTGACGTGGAAGTAGACGATGGTAGGCTGGCCCAAGTACTTCGGCGCTCTGTGCTTGTCGTATTGCTTCGGGTTCACAGGGAGGATGTCTCTCAGCGACAAAGAGGCCTCCTTTCTGCCGTACTCCTCGAGGTCCGACTCCCTGAAAGAAAGCAGAAACGAGGAGTAGCGAGCCCGACGCGGACTCGGCGAATCCCGCCGTATCTCCGCGATCCAATTTCTCTGCCATTAGAATGCTCTAATTGAGAAGTGCGTTCGCGTAAGACCCTCCTTGGCGTCTGCAACCGATCTTGTTTCCTTCGTTACCATTTCGTCCAACGAGACACCCTTCCCCATTTTACCGTTCTCTTCTTGTTACGAATCACGAGTCGCGTTGGTTTACTTCGTAACGGACCGTCGTAATCGATAAATGCATCCTAGTCTTTCTTATTAATCGTTTTGAAACGATCGGACGCGCGCGAACGACATTGTCCGCGTTGGAAATGCGCGAGTATCGAGCACAGCTCGCGAAGGAAGTCCACGAACGGTACGAGCGATTCTAAAATATTGGCGCGATTCCGATGAAACAGCAATATCGCGGAAGCCATAATAGGTCTTCGTGCTTGGCACACCTTTAAGTACGGCCGAGATACGCGTGTTCCTTACATGCGGACATTTTTTTAATATGCCGTCCCGCGACCCACGGATCCGGTTTACCCAAGAATGTTCACCATCTTTTCTCGCAATTTCTATCGACGCGATGCGCATACAGTAAAATTGGTATTACGACTTACTCGGACGCGAAAAGTTTCGAATCATCGATTTCTATGAATTTTCCCGATTCAAAGAAGAGACCCCACTTTCGATCAGCGGTCGCGATAAGAGTTGGTTCTCGCGGTCGACGTCCGTTCATCGAGACGACCAGAGCGACCCGGTGTCGAACGCATTGCGGCACCTTAAAACCTGCCAACCTGGTAATCCATAACAAGAGTTTTCAGAATTTTCATTCGATTTCTTCTTTCTCGACGTCGATCGAAAGAGATCGTACGTACGTTTCGCCTCGTTATACTTGGGCAAATTTAAATCGTTAACCGTTTATCCGTGCTGTTCGCTAATTAGCGAGGGCTGACTGGAAGGGTAGTAGTAGGTGGGGTACGCAGCCAGAAACCGTGAGGGGATCGCAGAACTGACGATGACGTCGATTCATCTTGGTGCGTTACCTTTCGATCTTCGGAAAGAACCGGTACCCGCGCTTTCTCGCCGAAAGTCGAAACGTACTGGACGATAAGCTATCGACCTTAATATGCCAGCCTTCGACCTCCGTGGAAAGTACCGGTTCGCATACTTCCTCGCTGAAACTCGACACAGTCGCGGGTGATGCTGGGGCAGCTCGTACCGTCGCCATTTTGCCAAGAGAACGAATTCACCGGGAGACCTTCTCGGATGCCGATCGAGAGGAGCTTTCGAATTTCTAAAGGGACGCAGCTTTATTGTTTCTACGGTGGACGTAATTTGGTTCGAGCGTCGACGGAAAAACAGGCGGTGCGTTCGTCCTTTTTGCAAGGCGGCGACGTTATCGTCCTCGAGATCGCGTTATCCAGCGATCGAGAAAGAGGGAGAGAGACAGAGGGACAATGGCGCAGAAGGCACGAGAGATTGGACCGACCGAATCGAGGCCAGGTGATAAAAGTGATCAATGGACCCGGGCAACACTGTCGAGCAAAACGTTATCTACGATCATGATTACGCGGTAATCATGATTAATGGTTAATAAACTATCGCGTACGATTACCCCTAGCACATTAGAAATTACCAATTTACGATCGCTGGCTGCGGATGTAGTTAACGATTACCGATCGATGCAACTTCCAGCGATCGTTTGAAACGTTACCGCGACGCGATCGTTGCCCAACTCTGTTGCGCAAGCACGTGGAATCATTTTGCGGCCGATCTCGAGCGTTCTGTTCCGATCGCTTACAAGGGAAGCTTGGCAAAAACATGCGTTTCGAGAAATTAGAATTCTGGTAAACAAAACTGCGCGCGAAACCGATCGCTTCGTTCAACGTTAATAGCCAGCCTTCCCTCGTTAGTTACCAAACATGCCCGCCTACTCACGGAAAATGTAGGGCCACCATGTCAAAGAGCGTGTACAGGTAGCAGCATAGGATCACCAGAGAGTGTCTCGTCATTCCTGAAACAAACGTTCGACCAGACGGTGTCAGTGAAGGCAACGGAGAAAGGACGACGCGAATGGTTTCAACGAAGCCAAAGGGAGAAGAAGGGAAACGTTCGACGAGAAAATTATGTCTACGGGATTCCATCGGCGCTAGTCCGAGAATTCAGGTCGACGACCGATCGACGCTGCCGTTCCGCTCATGTAATCTTGTCCACCGTCGTTCCCTTCTTTCGCGTTTATCGGGCCGATTCTTCGAGATTCGAACGGCTGGAGTTGTCCGTGCCGTCGCGAAGCGGCGAAGGATCTCCCGCGATTATTTTTCCTCTCGATACATCGTGGATGTTTGGAGGACACTGCAACCTACGTAGAACGCGATTGAAACGACCAGGGATTCGTTGAAAGTTCAACTCGAGCGAGGGGAAATAAAAACTTTGATTGGAGCTAAATGCGGTAGCTCTCTATCGAAACGAAGACCGAGACGGAGGTCTTTCTCGGACGTAACGTCGACTTGTCGACATCCTGTATTTCTCTCTCTAATTAACAATCTACCGCTCGACTCACCGATCAGCTGCACATTCTACCGTGCCGATCCTCTTTGTCCAACCAGCTCGCGCACTCTGACCTCGCTCGAACCACCCCCGGTATCCCTTATCGTGACGGTACAGCCAGCTCGTCAACCCACGGGCCACATCCGCCGGAAGGTCCTCCGAATATCCATCAAAGTGTCTCGACCGTTCCACGCGCGTCGATCCCCGAGCACCTCGATCCCTGGACGATCATCGGTTTCCCAACGACGAACCCCGTCCACGATTCCGATCCAGCCTGTCGACGCCCGATATCTCGAATAGTCGTTGCTTTCCAACCACCGCGAGAGAAACAGAGAGAGAGAGAGAGCGAGAGAGAGAGAGAGAGAGAGAGAGCGCAAAGATCACTTTCGGTGCGTACACAGGAGCAATTTCAGGCCCCACGATTCGTCGAGGAGGAAACCCCAGGAAGGATCGGGGACGCGACGCGACGCGGCTCTTATCGGCGAAGGGTTGATTCGCCACTCGGTCACTGGTCACTGGCAGGGCTTGCTGGTTCTGTAAACCACCCTGTCGGTCGCTGCCTCTAAGCCAATTTGCCTATCGACCAACTGATTAAGCCCTACTTTCTTTCATCGTGGTAGACGTGCACGTAGCGAAGGAAACGATACCGCTCGATCGCCGTCAGCCCCCGACGCTATATTATCATTTTCAACTTGCAAACAACCCTGCCACTCAAGTTCTACACATTATTGCTCGATGTTCCGTCTATTATAAACGCTTCCCGACTAAACTCTACCCCAAATATTGTTCTTGTATCTCATGTTTACACTCAAAGTTGTAAAACAAACCACGATCCGCTCGGGTTTAACGGTATTACTTGGATTCAACGTAGCTTCGAGATCATTTTCGGAGGCTGAGGATATATTTTCTTGCCCTCTCTTCCTTGATATAACCTGCTCTTTGCACCAAGTCTACGACAAGTATTTTACATATATATCGGCACGATTTCGATGTCCTCGAAGCGAAGATTCTCGTCGAGCATCGGATCGTTCCCATCGCTACGCGCACGGTCTCTGCTCCACCGCGGGTCTGCCTAGCCAGTGGCCGACACAGAGTCGTTCGTGTGCGACTCGCGCATACGAGAATGTGCTTGCTTCTGTTTCCAGGGAAAATTCCCCGTGGACGTGCTCGACGGGACGAGATACGATTATATGCTCGCAACGCAACGGCGCGGTTCATCCAGCCGGGTTTTCGTGCGTTACGATTTTCGGTCGTAGTCCTTTGCGGGATGATTGCACGGTGGCGATGGGATTTCGAACGATGGTTGTTCCGTTCCATGTAGGCGCGCCGTTACGTAACGGGCACGTCGCTGCGTTCCGGTGATTTATAACAGGAAGCAAGGGGAACGCGCTGGAGTTTTACTTTTTTTTAAACGCACGGTCACGTGGGAGAGTGGGATGATACGACGATCACAGGTTACTCGGGTTACTCGTGCCGATCGGAAGACAACGAATCGTATCGACGCGAGTTCATTCGAGCTGATCCTGCATCGCGTACAGCGATAGTTACGCTCCGATGGAAACACTTCTGGAATCGCGAGGACGCATGGACGTTCAACCATGCAGGCAACACGGTTAGAAGTCAGCCGGAAATGAGCGACAGCCGATGATACGGCTGTCGAACGTATACGTGGCTGCGCGCAGTCGGCCTTATCCACTTCGAGCACTTACCGCGAAGCGATGGTATAATTCCAAGCGTGCACGGGGAAAGGACAGTTTGAAAATTTTATTAGCGCTCCTCTCCTCTCGAGAAAACGGTAACGCGCCATGCGACGGGGTCGACCGATATCCGTCTCTTAATATTTATATTTGTCGTATTTATAAGCTCGGTCGAACCATGTGAAAGTCTCATCTTTTTCTTGTCGCATCAAGAACCGACTCGTTTGCTTATAGAACGAGTTTGTTGGTATGAGTACTTGTTATTGGATATACGTGTCCGTACACGCTCAGTTATGCCGCACACGCGACTATACAGCGAGTGTACATGCGATTATCGATACCCTTCTGGCTCCGGTCTAATGAGATTCGCCGGAGGCGCAAGCACAAACAAAGAAGGTTTTCGAAGCCGGTCCCGATCGGTCGATCTCCGCGATTCGAGCGTTCAAGAATCCCCGGGACCCAATTCGATCTATCGCGTATCGTTCCTCGACGATTTTGCCAATTAACTGGCAGAGTTCGACGAAGATTCGAAGAAGTTCGAAAAACACCGGAAGCGAATAAAAATCGCGATTCCAACGAAACGGAGCGCTCGTTCGAATCTCGTGCGGGGACCGATGCTCGTTTCTAAATATTGCGAAAGAAAGATAGATATTTTTTGTTCCAGCTTTTTAACGATTGCCGCGAACGACCTCTGAAAATAGCCTGTTCTCCAACGCGAACCGCGATTCGAGATGGCCAACCAAAAATGTATTTTTAACTCGTCGTAGTACCGCCCACGTCCAGCGACTAAGCAACTTTGTTCAGCTTCCATCTGTTATGTTTGTAGTCGCCAGACGTTCGATCGGGAAGCGAACCGGAAACTCTCTCGATTCCTCGGAAACGATAGTCGTCGTGTGCTCGCGGCGTAAACATCGTCAAGGATAAAAAATATTCTGCGCAGGTGAAGGTTCTTAAATTGTTATATTTCTAAGCAACCAAGCGAAAATATCGTACGCTCGTGAAAGGAACTTTCATCCGTATATCTAATCGTTTCCCCTAAATGCATCGACCTCTTCGTCGACGCAAACTCCCCAACGTGCAATTTTAACACCCATTAATCTACCACGTTCTCCTGCTCCTCGAAATGTGCGAATAAAAAATGACTTCTGTAGTTAAGAATCGGCCGAAGAAAACCGCGAGCAGGCGTGGTCGTCTAACCCTTTGGAATCCAATTATCGGACGAGCGGTGTTTTGACAGTTAGCACGCTTAAACACCCGCGGATGTTAGCCGACGTTCGCAGCCTGAAATATAGTTTTAAATCCTCTCCGCCACGGCGAGCAGCCGAGGGGTAAGTGGGGTTAAGCTGGCCTAGTCGAGAGGTCGCGTCAAATACGATCGTAAGAGGGATGTTACGCGTACAGGGTTTTTCATAACGACACCGCGCAGTGTCACCGTTTTGAACGACGCAGCTTTCGAGGGTTGTTCAACATTTTAACCCTCCGCGGGGACATTGCGAGTCTGGCAAACTTTGTCGCTCGTTACTAAGGATCAACTTATACTTTGAAATTTGAAATTTTTCCTTCGACGCGTCCCGCAGCCTGAATAACTTACAAAATAATAACGTGGCGCGCACAAACGTGTTAATTAATTTGCAGAATGAAAGCATCGACTCAACGGGACTTTTTTCCATGGGGCGTGTATTTTAATCGAGAGCAACCGAACTACCATTGGCATATTTACCGACCTTCCTCTCGGCGTGCCGCGTACCGTTTCGCACTCGCGTTGACCTAATATGCGTTTGCGGTCCGCGGCCGTGCACGCGTGAACGCGTCTCCAAATTGGACAATCGATCCGCGGCCGACCGACCCGCGTTATCGATATCAACATACCCGCCGAACATTCAATCTCACCGTGTCATTGTTTTCGCCAGACTCTGTTTTGCCAAGGCAGCCAACTAAAGCAGCGCCGGCTGCGTTTTGCCGGCGGTCGCGCGTTCCCCAAACAAGCCGGCGGCGATTTAATTACCGTTCGCGCGGAAACTTGGACGAGAAGACGCATTGATTCTTCGCTCGATGGATGAGAATTAATCCAGATTACGGTGGCAACTTTTCGTCTACGGCGCAACCTTTTCCCGAGGTGTGCTATCCGACTTTCGTGATAAGAGCCCGTTTGTTACAAGCGCGGTGCAAGTCATTTTTAAACAAAAAGTGGAGTTGCTGCGAGCAGCGATAAAAGAACACGTTTACTTTGTCCGAAAGAAAAGTTTCACCGTCGCCGAGATCATATTTCCTTACGGACGTGTCCACTCAACTTTAGTTACGGAATGTTGCTTGCTACTTTTTACTGTTCCTTTTTGTGCGATCAACGTGTACCCAAGACCAATAAAGACGTACTATTATTCCTATATTTATTCAATTTTATTTATCCACGGATCTCATCGGAATCACGGTTAGTATGCGTCGCGTAGGGAATACCAGTGGCCCTGATAACTTTGAAATCATACCCTCGGAACAAAACTCGTTACGTGTTCTTCGTTGCGTAGTTCGAAAAGAAGACGGTAAACTAGTTTGTTGTTGCGAGTAGAAAGTAGATCGCCTTGCGCACGGTGATGTGTAAAACTGCACGGGCAGTCGTTTTTCTAGAGAAGAAAAACTAACGAGCACGTCCAAGTATCGGCATCGCGTTTGAGGGATGATTATTCGCGCGCCAGGTCGTCGAGAAAGAACAGAAACTCCAGCAGCATATTTTTGTATAATTTCAGGGGCCTTAGAGGGCCTGTTCGTATTTATTTACCAACGTCTCGGCAATTTGTCAGCCGCCCGTATAATAAGTTTGTAACAAGTACTCGCGTTCTCGATCGCATCGTTCACTCGCGCAACTCGCACACCCTCAGCCGAACATATATATATTTATCCGTAACGCGTTGTCGCCATTCGCACCGGTAAAGACGTTGTTACTCGTTAACGATCCCGTTCTCTAGTCGTCGCCTCGTCGCTCGTTCTTGCCCGAGATTTTTCGTCAAGCGTCCTTCTTCTCCTCGATCGGGGCGAACGAACGAGCGAACGAGCCACCCCTCGCTTCGTCCGAGAATTTCCTCGGAACCAGTCGAGATCTCGATCGCGAAACTCTCGACGACGACGACGACGACGACGGGTGCTCGAGGGTCTCGTTCGATTAACTAGGTGATTTAGGTACGCGTACCCTCTCGTGTATATGCATATGTATATTTTGTATATTTATATTTATATATGTATATGCATATGTATACGTATGTATAGGTATATACAGTCAACGTCGCATCGGTACCGCACCGGAGGGTGAGCAGAGAAGGTGTTCCCGATGGAGAAGTCAACGACTGCCCTGCATTGCGCTTTCCCTTCCTTGTTATCGTTCTCGTCTCCTCGGTGAAATAAAAACTTTCAACGGACTCGGTAAAGTGATCTAGGAAACGAACCACCTCGCAACCGCGCGATTCGGTTCGCGCTGGATGGACACTCGCGTCGCGTTTCCGTCCCCGATTAACGTACGGCGTCGTCGTTGCTTTTCGCCATGGCCATTTCCGCTCGACGATTCTCCCGGATAACCTAGCGTTCGGTTTCTTGTTATCCCAGGATTTACAACGAGAGACTCTCACTCTCTTTCGGGAACATCCTCTCGCACCGCCTCCCTTGGGAACGGAGAACGATTGATATTCTTCGATGTTCGTTTCGGGGGGATCAAATCAAAACAAACGGGGAAACTACCGTGTTTTCATTCGTTCGTGCGAAATAAACGACGTCGCGAGCTCGGAATATCAATCGGGATAGGGCTGCTTAATCGACTATTAATTTCCTCTCGGTGTTTCGTCGGATCGAAGCAGGAAGCAGCGATACACAGGGTTTCCGGACACACCTACACACGCTCGATACTCTCGCTCTCTCACACACGAACACACGGCATGCGAGCGAGTAAGCTCACGGAGCGGACACGTGGCTATACGGATGCGTACCACGTTTTTCGCGAACGTTTCGAACACTCGCGGGGACTGCGCGCTTTCCTTAGCTTTACCGTCCCTTGTGTTTTCTCTTCTGCGCGCGAACCAAGAGAGATGTCTACTGAAAAGCGACGTCCCACTTTTCCGTCTCCTAAAGTGACCTCCTACAGGCGGTCTCGTAAGCATATCTCATTCGTTGAATATTGAACGCGGAAATGAACGGCGTCGTTACGCGTCGCGGCGAGCAAACTGGCCAGATCCAGAGATCGCTTAAAGATATAATTCCATGTAAACGAAACCAACTTTCGCGTAATTTTGTTAGGTTGAAAGAGGTAAGGGTGAGCTCTGTGCTCCTTATTATAGATACGATCGAAAGGGTCGAAACCGCTTTGTGTTCACACATCTGTTTTCTAAGTTGCGCAGTGGTCGCCACTGTACGTTTTTAAATGGGCGATTAATTATTCGATGCGGTGTTACATACCGTACAACGAAACATAGCGATTTCTTTGTCTTTCTTCGATATACCGGGCGAACTCGTGGAATCGTGGCGCAGACAGAAAGGGGGGCGGGGTGACTTTACGCAAATGAATAGGTTGAGTTTTTGCGTGATTTTACCTTCGCTTTCATCGGACAACAAATTCTAATAATCTTAAATTATAATATCCCTTTTCGTTGCGTCACAATCGCAGGACAACCTGACTTTGGTCTCGGCTGCTTACGAGACGCGAGGTGGTCTCCTCTTAAACAATGGCGGTCGTTGGAGGATTGACGCGAGCCGTTTAGGAAGGATGAAGCATCTTGAACAGTGTGCTACTTAAGTTTACATTTACGTAATCTTACAGCTTTATATTACACGCGTGGCAAGGGTCAGAGTGCGTATCAAGTAATAAAATATATATGTATATGTATGTATATATATATATATTATGTATATGTATACACGCGCACCAGTATATATGTATAATTGCACGCATTTAGTGTTTCGTGTGTAGTCGGAGAGGTTGAGCCATCGTTCAGGTTTACCGATGGAGAAACTCGGGGAATTACCGCCGCCTAGGAGAGACTCGCCGCGCACCGACGCGCCGACTATGTACTTTGATAAGCAAACAAAAATTACACGGGAAACCACTTCCACGCGAAAAAAAATATATAAGATAAAAAAGAATCGCTCGTTTCGCAAATCGAAAGATACCCATTCGCACCCTGTGCAAAGGATCGTCGACCAAGGGATGAAACCGTTGGAAAGGGTGCGCGGTACCATCGGTTCGTAAAACGACTGGTGGACGGTGAAGAACGTTCCTAGCGATCGATACAGTCTTGTCGGTATTCCAGAGCTGCGACACGGCACCAAAAATGAGGTAGTTCTCCGCGAAACTAGTCACCGAAGCGGGGTAGCGTATTGGGCGACGGTACGTTTCTCGTCGTCGGTAAGACAGGAACGTTTAGTGAGCTTACTTACTAGCTAGGGAATCAAATACGAGAGGCCCGCACGGTGCCGCGCGGAAAATCGATTTCTGACCCCCGCCACTGCAGCGGTTTTTCCGCTTCGCGTTGATTCATTCGCGATTACTCTCAACGTAGCGACGTTGGCGTCGATACGGCGGGACGCCGTTGCCACGTCTAGGTATTTCCTCGTTGCATTTCATCCCTAGCTATTTAGAGAGATTTTCGTGGAAATTCGCTCGGCGAGATCGCGAACGAGCTGGCGAACGCTCGAGCCGAATTTTCCACGGTTTCTCGAAGGAAGAAAACGTTCGATGGAACGTTTTCTTCGTCGGTAAGGGTTGGATTCGTTGCCTCTGGTATGGGAATATCGTAGGACGATGGCAACGGACCGCGAACGAGCCACTTTGCGCATTTTCTGTGCCCCCACGTTCGAAAAAAGCGTCGAAAAACTGAACCTACGTGAAACCAGAGTAAAACCGCTTATTGGCTGGCCGCTTCTAAGGAGGCCTTGATATGTTCGATTGGAACCACCGTGTCCTTTCGTCGCCCTTTTCTCGCGAATTAGTTTCCCTTCTTCGTCGTCTCGTCTCAACTTTTGCCAGCCTTTTTTTTTTTTTTCTTCGCGAAGCTTTCGAAAGCTTTTCGACGCTTCAAAGTAATTGCGCTGCTCGTACAATCGATTCTATGGATCTCTGTACCACCGCCGTTCACCAAAACATCGCCAAACGTTGCCTTCGCAAAGTATCCAGACTACTTTCGCGGCCAGTAGAATCGGACAGTCGTACACAGACCCACGGTCGCGACACATTGGAAGAAAACTTATTTCTCGATTCTTTTGCTCCCTTTCCACCGCTCTCTTCGCAGTTTTTGTCCATCGTGTACTTTTTGTTATCATTGCGTCGATTAGTCGCGAAGCATGGAAGCATCCAGCGCGCCCGACTGACAACAAAAATTTCAAATAACCGAACATTCAACGTTAACCAAATTCGAGTCGATACGATGTTAATATTCAAGCCACCGGTTTTGGATGTTGATTTTTTTGATTTGCTCTTTTCAAGTTGGAGAGTCCTACGGTTTCTTCGTGGATTGCTTTTGTGCGTAGAAGTGGTGCATAAATCAGTGGTGTTAACTATAACTAGTCAGACCGAGACGGAGTCTGGTAAACGCTGCAAAAACCGATGGCTTGGGTTCGCGTGTTGGTGCTGAGCGCGAGCCGATAGAGATTGCAAGCGTGTGCGCTTTTCGTTCAGCTTCGTTTTGTGCCAGAATGAACGGAACGTATTTTCCAAGTAGCCGTCGCATCGATACCGATAAAACGATAAAGCTTGCGAGAACTCCCTCGGTTTCGACTCTTCTTCAGCAAAAAGTTTTACGGTGCAAGGACGAACAATGAAACTTGTGCGTTAACGAAACCTTCCGTGCTTCGCGAAAGAAAAAATACACCCGGTTGTCGCTCAAAGTTCGTCGAGTCTCAAACGTTCGATCGATCGATAAGTCCGTCGCTCTCGTAGGAGATCGTTTCTTCGTTCACTCGCGATAAAATTCTTTGTTCCCCAGCGGGGCCGAGATTTTCGACGCGAATTAACATATGTATATATGTATACGCTTTTATATTTATATATGTATATATATACGACTGTTCTACGTGCGTGTTATGTATAACGTGACATTTATACATTTGCCGGGTCTGCGCCACCGGCCCCATCCCCTTTTTGAGCGACGTGCCCGTGGATCGTAAACTTTATACATTATTGCTTTGCCGATAGCCACGTCACGTACGTTCGATCTGACTCACGTTCGCTCCACTTCTGTCGAAATGCGACTAATTATACGACGCGTTCCGCCCCTAATTTTGTCGTTGGAAATAGCCAAACTCGCTCTCCTTTTCGTCCAGAATTCAGCCGTCTCGATAACTGAATACGAATAAAATACGATCGAATTACTTATTCATTCGTGAAAGTAAGAAAATGGAACGCGTTACAACGATAACTAGCGAAACAATAAATTTTGTACATTTCATCTTTCGAACCGAACGCGAGCCAGAATCGTTTTGCAACCTTTCTGTTCCGATTTCGATTTCCCAAGCCGACGAGTCCCTCGGATCGTCGACGATGCACGATCGCTCCGTTTCGTCTCGCGGACGACCGACGATCGACCTCGCTCCGCGTCTCGTTTCTCGATATCTATATATTTCCTACAAATAATAGTAGCTTCATCATTTCTCGAGACATATAGAACGATGCGTTGAAATTTCAAGCAACCGAAACAAAACCGTCCGCGGATGTCCAAGCTGTCGATTCAACGTTGCCCTGTAAGCCGAGCCACGGGAGGACTTCCACAGCGAGGAATCGGAATTTTGAAAATTACTATTCGGCACGCGTTCACCGAGTACTGTCGAGATTATAATCGAGCCAACGCGGAACGAGGTGTTACCGCTGAATAATTTGAGGTCGTGTATTTCAACGTCGTTTGTAAACGTCACGCGCCGGGGGAGCTGTTTAGAAGTTTCTTCCCCGGTTTTCCGCTTCTTTCTCGTTTCTCGCTGACAAATCGACCGTTTTAAAGCGGGTGTCTCGTACACCGGAGGCCGTGAGCCATCCACGAAACGCCGGCGAAATTATTAGACTTCCGACACGATAATACCGACACACTTTATCGTGTCACGGAGTAAAACATAATTAAACGGGCTGGATCTGGCGTGTCCCGCTGCACACCTGACGCTTTAACGCGATCCGCTAATCGTTCGATCAACGAACGTCGCATTAAATTCCCTTCTACTCCCGCGATGGCATTTACTCGAATATTTTACGTCGGTAAATCATCTCTACGCGACACGCCCGTGTAAGAGACACCGGCTCGTCTCTTCGTTTGCCGATGAGACATCGTCTTGTCCGCGTGATTTCTTCTTCTATAATATCTTCTTTTTGTTACAACGTTATCAACAATCTACAGTTATCTACACACTCGAGTCTCTCGCGACGCCTCGAAGGCCCTTTTAGATTTAGCTCTGAACTTTAACAAACATCTAGTGGTCCGATACAGGAGGGGCGGTCGTTTTGCTAGCTTATTAATTATACCATATATTAGCGGTGGTCATTTACAGACTCTACGGTGCGTTTTCATTTTTACACGCGTCGACGTTTCGCGGGATCGAGGATCTTTCTTTCCCGCCGGTCTCAACATCGCACCGATACCTGTTCTTATCTCCAGGATTGATACCGCGAGGTCCGATACCCGGGAACCTCACCGATCGAAATCTCGAGCAACGGCGAACGAATCGAGTCTGGTCGGGAAGATCGAGTTCGATACTTGGCCTCGAACAACGATCGACTCGTCGCTTAGGATTCCTCGCGTTAGAACCGAATAGTACCCGTGAATGTTTCAATTTCGTATATCGGATCGTTTCATAACCTTCCCGCGTGTGAGGAGAATGGGAAAACGTGTAAGGAGAAACGTGGCGTCGACGAAATCGAACGAAACGTTCGAAGAAAGACGATGCCGCGAATGGATTCCAAGTCGTTTCGCGAGGAAACTAGAACAGCGGTGACGCGATCGTTCGATCCTTGCCGAGGTCGTACTTGCAAGTTCACTTTAAGACTTCGTAGTTCAACTAAACGATTAGAGTCACGCGTTGGAAATTTGATCCTCGATCGCGGTAACGAAACCGAATTCTCTACGTCGTTGATCCACGAGGCACGAAGATTAGAGCCCCGTTGGCAAGATGCAACTCTCTCTTTAACTCTCGTTCGTTGATGCGTGCCTCTCGAGGCCGTGAATTCTCGCTCGCCGAGATTGAACCCTTTCGGTGCTGAAGATTCGAACGCTTAATACATTTAAAATGCTTAGAGTCTCGCGGAAGTCCCGTAGTCGCATTCGTTGAGTAGGTTTGAGCAACGAGCGTAGGTGTTCACCGCCGATCTGACCGAGCGTTTACGGGCCGTCCGTTGTACCGAAAGGGTACTGGCTCTTTCCTTCTTCTTCTCTTCGGCAACGAGTTTCTAGGCATACAAGAATCTTTGCTCTTCAATACGAGTAAACGGTGGCGATTGGCCCGTGTCACGAGGCTACCAGACACGTCGACGACGATCGCAGCAGACTGAGGAGCAGGAGGACCGCCACGAGGAGGAAGCTCGACGACCTCGAGAGATCGCTGACCTCGTTGCTGTACGGTAACTTGACCTCGACCTCCGCCATCTTGAAGATCGAGAGCAGAGGATGCGTGTGGACCTCGTGGTGCTTGTTATTGATCTTGTCGCTGAGATCCTGCAGCATCGAGCCGCACTCCTCCTGAAACCCGAAATATCGGAATTCGTTAGTGCGATTCTCCGTGGAATTGCCGGGATTCTAGAGCGATAGCGATTGACTAAAGGAACCAACGTATCGCAGAGTTACGTAGAAGTAATGACAAATTTAACGATCGGATACTATCGTGTGGTGTTACAAATTTATGCGTTACGTTTAATGGAAACAGAACGCGAATAAAATATTCTACCCGATATCGTGTTTCCAATGCAGTTCCGACGACGCATCCTTTCGAATTTGTAAATTTTTTAAACAATTTGTAAGTCGGCAATAGAGTTTATTGAAAATTTGTTCCATTAGAAGATTCATTAACGAACCATCGTCGAACCGATATCAAACTCCGGATAAACAGAGAATCGAGCGTAATTGCGATTAAACGACTCGGCTAATTTCTACTCCGTAGCGTAACGTAAATTCTGCGATCTAACAGACAATAATTGAATAAGCTCGGTGATTCGTTTCTAAAATAACGTCCTCGAGTGACGAGTATACCGGATACGTACGACTATGCTTTCGGGTTATGTACGTGTAATACGGGTATGGAGATCACTCGAGGGCCTGGGCACCCTTATTCCCCGGGTATCAAGAGCACTAATGTATGTATCGCAATTCGCGTGGAGCGTTTGCAGATGCATCGTTGCTATTATCGTAACGACTTAATTAAGCGGCATCGCGGGGTGATAACCCGAGGCCGCAGGATTTCCATTGTAATCAAAAATTAAATCGCGCTGCAATATTGTTCGGGACCCAAGTTTTCTCGTCTTTCGTTTCGCCAGTTTCCATTGTGCTCCGGAATACTATTGCCCTAGTATTTCAGATAACAAACACTATTTTTTTCCAGTCCGGCGTGTTAGCGTTTCAACCAGTTTTCGCCCGGCTAATTACGCGGAATTAACAACAACCGGACTCCTTTGTTCGGTTTCTTCTTCGGGCATATTGTTATTAACCAAAAGCGCAGGAGTTGGGAGGAAAAAACACCCGAGACTCCCGAAGCGACATCCACCGTAACACAGTCGGTGTTCCGTTCCCCGTATTTCGTGATCCCATTCTCCCTTTAAGCGTGCGTTTCAATAACGGCGAAACTTCTTTAGAAAACACCCGACTAAATGAAAACAAGGGATTACGGTGGAAAGTCTCGCGAACGGGGGGTCTTTTGATACGATTTTAATTCAGTCTTAGGAGAATCCTGACGAATAATTAAATTCCTCTCAAGGTCACGAGCGTATTAGCTCGAGAAGAGGGCGTGTAGCCCCCGCGCGGTTAGAAACTTTTTCCAGTCTCACGAGGCAGGCAAAGAGTCCCAGACCTGTTCCCTTCGAGGATCCAGTTCTCCCGGTTTCGACTTAACGACGCCGAATGTAACTCGTCCTCGCGCGCTCCTGGCCCCGGCATCGATTTCCATTTTCATCCCTCTCGCGTATCATTCTCTCACCTCCTCTCTTTCCCTCGCATCCTCGCGCTACGTCGTTCTTCCTCGCGCGTCCCTCTTCCCCATCTTGTTCCTCGTCCCCGAAATTACCTTCGGCTCGTTGAATCTTTAATTTCCGGCGGAGGAGGAACCGAGGCCAGAGCGATTTTTGGCGATATTTTCCGAGGACCGGAGCGACTAGGTGCGAGGGTGTATGCACCACGTGGTTCGACCAGAGCGTGTCCCGACGCCGACGCCGTTGCGCGACGACCTCGCCGTCCCCGTCCTCGTCCTACTCGAGGTTCGTTCGTTTCGAATCCGAAGCATCGACGTCGGATTTTCAATGAAATTAAATTCCACCCGCTGGGAGAACCCAATCGTATCTGCCCATCCCTACGCGTGCACTCTTTCGAATAACTTTTGGCGAGGAGAGGACCCGTTGGTCCTTTAAATTATCGATGCACCGGAAATTCGTTTTTCACCACTCGCCTCCGATTTTTCCCCAAGTTTCTCGCCCGTACGACTAGGATTCCGTAGATTCCGCTGGAGAAAAATTCTAAACGTCTAAACATACTTTTGTTACGCCGCCGATGAATTCTACGAAACGCAAATATTCCGTCTTTCGTATTCCTCTGGCGAATAAATGTTCGCGCACCGCGAGTATTCGCGGAATCGGAGAAGAAAACGTTGCGGCTACGTGCCCGGTTTTCCGGAGTGTAATCGAATAGAGCGCCGCGGAGTAATAATGATCCGTAGAGGACCCGGGTCAAAGCCCAGGACGATAATTCATTTTACACATTGGCCGGTGCTAATTGTAGCGCCGAGTTTCTCGCGCGTTGCGGCTTAATTATCGAATATCCGGGTCGACCGCGAATTTCGTCGGGTTCTCTCACGTTGCTGTTTCGACGAATACCTTTCCAACTTTTCGCTTCGTCGGTAGCGATTCGCGTTCGATCGCGCGAATCGTCCATCAATAATTAAGAACCTGCTCGGCGCTCGGAAATTCGAAACGCAAATCTTGCGGTACATAAGATTATTCCGCGTTTCTGTTACAAATTTCACCGGATTTCTCCGCTTTCCGTGCGTTATAAAGTTCGCTGCGCTTTCAGCGGCTACCGTACGCCGTGAGATTTTAACTCGAAATTAAGCCAGACGTAACATGTTTTACCTTTTACCGGCGTAGCGTCGTTTCGAAGGGAAAAGTGATTTTCGCGAGGGGGAGGGGGGGGGGGGGGGTTGCTTTTGGTTGTCGACTAACGCGATATCGGTGTAATATTTATTGTTTCGGATAGCAATGAAATTCGGTAACGATGGCAAAAAAAAAAAAAAAATACTATCCTTGTGATGAATTATTTTCACCTGCGGAACGTTTTGAGGTGTGCAAGTGCACTGTATAGCGGTGGTAATCATTTGGGCATTTGCGAGAACCTCGATTCGGTCTCGCGGGATGGGTTCCTGTCAGATTCGATGCTTGACGTGGTGGTCGAATTACTCTACATGCATATCTAGGAATAGGTTTAATAATATCGTATTGCCGAATCACGACCTTTACGTTGCGGATACGGTGATATCATAAATATTATCGTATCGATAACTCGCTGCTGGAAGCTGCGAGCGTCGACTGTGATTTACTTGGTTCGCGGAAAGAAGTTGTATCTCGAGTTGGCTAAATTAGAGATCGCGGCTCGGATGGTCGAGGAATAATGGCGTTCGTCGGCGCGGCCGGTGGAGAGACGCGACTTCTTTGCAGATTTATTCGCGTCTCTACGCGAACGACAGCGCGTGGAAGACGGTGCAGGCGCATCCGGAGCAGGTTTCGATCGACGGGCAGCTGCCATTATCCCTCGACAGGGTGAATCCCTTATTAATGGTCGCCTAATTGGGTTTCTCGGCGGAGGAACGGTTCCGTAGCCGGTCGTGCTTTCGAAGAGGGGGAGCGGAGACCAAGGAAGAGAAAAGAAGAGGAAAAGGGTCGGGGAAATGGCGAAAAGCAGACGGACGAGGAATTAAGCCGAAAGGAAGGGGAATAGAAAAATCGGTACAACCGAGGGGGTGAAGGCAAAACACGGAAAGCAAATGGTAAAATATAATAGTAAAATGTAGAAAGAACGAAGATGGAAGGGAGCAGGCGAATAACAGAAAAAGGGGATTAGGGAAACAGCGAAGAGCAACCGAGTGTAATAAACTACGGGGACCGGTGACGAGCGTTTCGGAGAGGCAAGCCTAGGTATTAGATGAGATGAGAGAGAGAGAGAGAGAAAGAGAAAGAGTCGGAGACAACGTAGGTGAAGTACCCAGGGGAAAGAGCCAGCGAGACATAACGAAGGACGGACAAGGATCCGTCTTGCTATTACGATTCCCACCGGTTCCTTCCCGTCTACTTCGATAGGGAGTCCCTTTCGTCGGGCCGAATGAATTCGGTATCAGGAACGATTGTACCCGTGGATTTGTCATCCCTGTTCGTCCTAAGACCCGCGCATTCTCCGTTTTCGCATTGCTAAACGTCGATGTCAGATTATAATAGCGGTATAATGGGATCAGCTGTACGCTCCGAAAGCTTGGATCGGTGGACGACTGAAACGGGCCGAGAAGTAGATAATCTTAGCCGCATAAAAAGCGCTTCTCCTGACTTTAGACGACTGATTGGAGCACGTCGACGAAGAATAGAAAACGTGTAGAACGTTGAACACTTCGATCACCGATTCGCGCATTCGCGGCTGTCTCGATGACGAGGAACGAGGCTCGAATATATTTCTCAGCCCCGAGGAAAAGACGGCGAGGAACCGTCGCGTGGCCCAATAAAGTTCCGCGGATAAAGAGGAAAAAAAAAAAAAAGAATTCCGGCATGCAAGACGCCGGTGCGCCTTCACGTGCTCGGTTAATCAATAACGACGTCGAGTCTGCTCGACGTTAGTCGTTAAAACGGAAGGGAAAAAAGCGAGGCGAGCAAGAAGCAGGCAGCGCTGGATGCCCGGAGAGAAAGAGAAGGGCTCCGGATAAAAGCGGGGCGAGTGGTGAAATAAAAATCAGCCGGGTGTGGGGAGAGAAGGGAAAGCAAGGAATAACGACATGCAACGCATGCCGACTTTATAACACGTAAAGGGTCGCCGTCGTGGAAAACAGCTCCGTCACGCAATGCAAATGAGCCGTCGAGTCGCGCGACAACCAACTTCGAGCTCTACTACATCGGTGTGCCTCTCGCGATATTTTAGTCCGCGTTCTCGTCGTTACCGTCTTTGGCAGATTCGTATCGGTATCGCGAGGGGATTTTGCCAAAATTCGAGAGACCAATCGGTTCGATTTTCCCGTTTCTCGACGAGCTGTCGAAGAACCACCTCCCTCTCGCGGACCTCTTTCTTTTCGATCCTTTCGCTGCGATGAGCGTAGCAGTGAAACGTCCGTTAAGGACAACAACCACGTTTGCATAATCGCGAATCTTTCCGAAACGTCGGGACGAGGTTGGGTTAGGTGCACGCCGGATGCACGGCATGTTGATCCCGTAAAATCTGCTACAACGGTTTCAGCCGGACATGGAAGAATCGCGGAGGCAACCGAGCAAAAACTGAGAGGAGCGAGG